GTAGAATAAAAAATATTTGAGGAAAGATTGTTAAAATATATGAACAAATTTGATATACTTTCAACAGACCAATTTGGATTTATATCAGGTTATTCTACTGAATTAGCACTTACATGTCTTACTGACCAACTAAATAAAGTCATAGATGACGGTTAATATGCAGGCTCTTTATTCGTCGAGTTTACGCGGGCATTCGATACTATCGATCATGACATTCTTAAAATTAAACTAGACTCCATTGGCATAACTGGTCCTCCTCTACTGCTGCTAGGGGCCTACTTGCGAGACAGGTATCAAGTCGTTAGTATATGCAATGCTTATTCTAAACCTAAAATTACTAATATAGGTGTACCACAGGGGTCAATTTTGGGCCCCTTGCTATTTTTATTTTATAATAATGACCTGCCTAATTGTCTTACCTTCTTGAAGTGCATAATATATTTTGATTACACTACAATTATTAACTTAATGAAAATATATCAGTAGTAGAAAATGAGCTTAACAGTGATCTCAATAACCTGTTGGTTGGTGTAAGACTAATAGACTTACTATTAATCCCTCTAAAACTAAATTACTTTTGTTTTCATCGCAAAATAAATCGCCACTGTGCATTCCGTCTATATTCATTATTAACCACGCATAACAGGCAAGTGAAAAATGTGTTTACTTAGGGGTGAATATTGACCATCATTTAAATGTTCAAAACCATGTCACACAACTTCAAAAGAAGTTATCTCACGGAATACGCATCCTTATGAGAGCACGTCCATTTTTTTTCACGCCCGGTCTTGCTCTCACTTTATTTCGCGTTTGTGCATTCACACATCAAATACTGCACAACCTCGTTGAGTAACATGTACGCCACTCATCTGCAACCACTACAAATCATTCAGAACCAGGCAATTCGATTAATCACGTTTAGTTCACCCACCCACAATGCTAAACAGTTGCTACAAGAAAATAAAATTCGCGACTTTGCCAGCCTTATAAAATTCAATCTCGCCACTTTTCTTTTCAAAGTAACTAATAAACAAATATCATTATCATCAATTCATTCATCATCTTTACTAAATACTAACCCAACTCGGTTTACGCAGCATAATAACTTCATTCGGCCCTAAAGCACAAACTAATTATGGTAAACAGACAGTTCACTTTGTGGCCATATCAGTATAGAACACAGTGTCATTTCTAATAAAAATTCAAAGACTACATAAATTTGGTCATGACTTGAAAAATTTTTGGTATGCGACACTCACTCTTCTGTCTACCCAGTTCCTTCTCACCATGCCATTCTCTTTTCAGTCTCTCGTTTTTTTTTCATGCTATTTATTTTTAAGTATTAAAAATATTTTATTATTTATATTTCCCACTTTATTTAGTTGATAAAAGCATCGTCATTTATATGTATCTGTATTCAATTTTTTAAACCTTGTATTCTCTTAAATTCGCACTGTTGTTGCTAACCAAATACTTGTGTTTACATTTCATAGCAGCTCCCATTTCAGTGTACACTACGGGACCTCCTTCTGTACGTTCTTTTTTCGTACATCTTATTATGAAATGATAAAACTTGATTTTATTTTATTTTTGATTTGATCTAGCCGAGTCAATCCTAGATAAAGGTACGGACACAGGGTTTGCTTGTATGTGTGCATTTCTAGATGCTTCATCGGTGAGGCCATTGGCGGAGATTTCACAATGACTTGGTATCCACTGGAACACAACGTTGTGTCCTTGCTCGGTCGCATAGTACAGCATTTCTCTGATCTCCGATACCAGTTGTTCGTATGACCTGCGACTAAGTGCTGACGAAATACATTGTAGAGCCGCCTTGGAGCCACAGAATACTGCCCATAGATTAGTCGGTTGTTGCTTAATATAATCGATGGCACCTCACAAGGCAACAATTTCCGAACCATTCGATGTGCTGACGTGACAAAGTTTGTTGTAAGTGTTGTTTATGTGTGGCGATGGAATGACGGTGGCGCCGGTGGAGCTAGTCTGGGTAATAGATACATCCGTGTATACATGGACTCTGTCAGCGTAGAAAGTGTTGTAAACAGTCCAGAGTCGCTTGCTTCAAAGCCAAGGCAGAAAGTACTTTTCTTTTTCTTATTCCTGGGACGGAAAAGCGGACGTCGGGTTGTCGTAGGCTCCACAAGGCGGATGGTGAACGCGCCAAGGGTATGAAACCGGATAGTAGCAAAGCGCGGTGGGAGCTGACGACCTTAGAGAACGACGCCTGTGATCGTTATCCTAGCAGAAATGTCAAATGGCTCGATACCACCGTGAAATGTGCCGAATATGTGTTCTCAGCACGTCGGTTCTGAGGTAAGTCGTAACCGGATGATCCCGAGCCAATATAACTGTTCCAGTGGTTGACGTAGTTCGTGGTAGGCCGAGACAAACACGTAGTGTCTGTGCTTGCACGCTCTGAAGTGCTTGAATGTATGTATTGCAAGTTTTAAAAAGCATTACGCTTCCCATTTATGGTATTGGCCTTAACAAGTACTTCGAAAGGCGCGCATGGGATAAACATGACACGGAATAATGCAGTACTAGATGTAACACAATACACGAAACGAAAAAAAAAGCCGCACATTTACTTTCATGTTTTGATGGGCTGACACTATACCTTAGGATAGCCCGTATCTATGCCTTCCGCGCGCCTCGGTCAATCGGAAATACAAATACGCACACACGCGGCCCAGGTGCATGGTTTGCACAGAAAAGTGGACAGAACATTTTCTTGGCACCACAGCTACCCGCAATCTGGTAACTCACCAGTGAACTCAAGCACAACCACAAGAAGCACACATCACAACTGCGAAGAGCCCGAAGGCACACAAAGAACGATGCAACATTCGTTTTCTCTCGTCGAAGCGCAGTAATGCTGCTGGGACTGCAACGCCGATGCGAACGCACCGCCACATGCCGGCGTCGAGTGCGTTGTGTGCCACCACAGCGCACAACGGAACCAGGTTCGTCAGCCCGTTGACATATGCGGTAGACCTTCCAAGCATTGACGAAGTTTCTTTTGGGAGCGGTGTCTCAACGCGCCAAACTCACACCAATACTCACGCACACGCACTGACTGACTCCCGCGCTGCCAGCTCTATCCTGAGAAGACACCGTCGGCGTGCGCTCACATTGCACACATGACATGAAAAGGCGCAGTGGCATCACGAGAAATCCTACCGGCCGTCAGTGTCGTTTTGGACCGCCAAGACCAGCGTTACTAGGTCTAGTAACGTTGCGACGAGACATCAGCCGCGGCCTCCCGTTCGCACCACTAGATCATATTCTAGTTCACTGTAGCCTTTCCTATGGTTGCAGGTGACCCCAACTGTCTCTCCTTAATTGTTTACTTCTCCTATTTTCTTTATTGGACATTGCCCCATCACCTGGCGCTTCGCCGTGCTTTCTATTGCTATCCAGAAATCATCGTCATTTCTTCAAATAACCACTAGTACTTCCTCGTCCGATTCATGAATCGCGAGCCTGTCCTGTACATTGGTGTCGTTCGTGCCAGTTAGGATATGTAGATCGCGTAGGCGAACGAAACCAGGACCGGCGTTCGCCGCGGAAGGAGGAGTTTGCTGGGCGGCGTTTTGAAGCGTGGCAAATAGTAATGTACGGGATTGTAATTCAGGGGCATCGAAGGGGAAATACGTGTTGCTTTGAAGGCACAGCATTCTCCACCAATTGTGAGGGCGTTTAAGAATGAGAAAATATACAACTACCCGTCTGTAGCACAGTCACAAGGAAATCCGTATGAATTTCTCAGTAAAAAAGGTTCCTAGTTGCTGGAAAATTCCTCCTGGTCCGGGACCCCAGCTTACGACCTTTGCTTTTCGGGGCGGTCATTCTAACAAATGAGCTATCCAGGAATCTAGCAATTGGCAGCGCGAGGGTAAATTCGTTGACAACACGAAACACATGGATATTACAGTGCTTGTAAAGGCGTTTATTCAATGCTGGCGTAGTGTTGGGCCGGTGGCTCGATGAACGGTTAAAGTCACGGATCTTGAGAACGAGCAGTGTTTCCATGGGAGGCGCAGTACAGAGAGATCCACTAGATGTCACCGACTGATAGTGTTTGCTCCTCTTCCCTGTTATTTATATATATAAGCTAAGTTTATTATACTTTGTCTTTCTTCAATTGTCGCCTAATTTTGACCTGCAGTCATACTGCAAGTCCGAAAATTCTATTACACTTTTGCTGGCTGATTTGAATGTAAACCACAGTATTCGTCATACTAGGCATAAGGAAAAATGACATGTCCCTACACCTCGAAACAAATATGACGAACAGTCATCAAAACATATTGTGTCAATCACACTTAATAAACTTACAAAGGCCGATTCTCATCCTCTGTGCATTTCTAATTAAGAAAAAAGACTATTTTGTCGATCGTGTCCCAGAGATTACTAACGTTGTGCATAATATATTTCTTTTTCTTTTTTTTCTTACCCCCGTGCTTAAATTGTGTTGAACATGTTAACAAAGAGTACATATACGTGCGTAGACCTCTTTATATATACTGGTGTATCGGGTACGAAATTGTAAATTCGTCAAATACGTATGTCCATTCATAGGCACATATTTCTTATTGTGTGCATATATAAATATATATTGATGCATACAAACTTTCTGTTTTTTTTTTTCATTGAAACTGTATTGTTATCGCGTAGTACATTGTTTTTAATGTGTTGCGCTTGTTTTTTCTCTGCAATGTGTTGCTGTCATTTGTAAAAGGGGCAAGACTTCCGTCAAGCTGTAGTAGCTTTTAATCGTGTCCCCTCTTTTTCAAGTGTGAATAGCAATAAAAGTGATTCGTTGATTGATCAATTGATTGATTGATACCTAACCTCAGTACCTCTCCTCGGACCAGCTTCATCGTGATAACGGATATTTTTCCAATGCGACACTCAGAATGATGAATACATAGCCACATATATTTCTTACAATATCAGTATTTCTTTTTCCTTCTCAGAGGGACCACACTTTCTGCCTATGAACTACACTGTGACAGTAAGCCTCGGCGAGAGGTTGACCCTTGAAGTCAAGAAGGTGCCCGGCGAAGACAGAGTTGGTCGAGTGTCTTCTTGGGTAAAGGTTGACGCTGAGGGAAAGGCCGTAGAGCAACTTACAAGTACCGGCGACTTGTCCACAGTGTGGACTGCACCGAGCAGAGCCCGCTTGGACTACAACGGGGTGTACGTCGCTAATGGAGAGAACACAAAGGCCCCCGGAAAGAATCGAGGCATCTTCAGAGTTATCGTGCGCAGTAAGTATGCAGATCAGTATAACGCCGGTTTTCTAGCAGGGCTCATTGAAAGGTTCATTGCATAAATATGTCAAGCAACAATAAGACTAGAACTGAAAGCTCGGCGAGTCAGTTACCACTTATGCTAAATTGGCAGCGCGCGCAGAAAGGCTCAGACGCAACTAAGTGCAACTACACATTAACACTCTTCTGTGGACACCGCAGTGTCGTTTTCTTTTATGAGCGCAGCCATTCGATCTTGTTCTGTGAGTAAGCATTGAGCCTTGAACTTCTTTTTTTCTGAAGAAACTTGAACCACATCGATGCACTTCCAGCGGTTTCACATGACTGTTATGCCTGAGCTACCTCACAGCAAAGCTGCGTAAGCCCGTTTGCGAGTGCGGGATATCGAGTCCTTTGTCCAACATACACCGTCATATCTATAGTATTACAGAGCAGCCGTCCCCAGGTCAAACAACTCGAAAGCAGGATCTGGCTCTATTAAGCCTCCAGAGTGGCACTTGGCCAATTGTTGTTCGGGACAATGGGGAACTGTGTGCAGTTGGAAGGTCAACGTCGCAAATCTTTTGCTTCCACTCTGTCTTCAACTTATCCTACTTCATTTGACCATATTCCGTAAACTGACCTCTCCATCTTTATCTTAAAAAGTGGACGATAAAGAGAGACGTCCACAAGGATTTATAGAAGTGTTGAGCTTCGCGTTGACAATACACATCACAACAAAAGTCTCTCTGAAAAATCACGGCTTATTTGATACCATCTTAATGACTCGCGAACATTTTACTTGATGCTGATCAGAAGGCTGTTAGAACGTGCAACGTTACTTTTTAGAGTTTGATAAGGCAGAAAAGCATTGTAATATGAAGAATATTGAACAGGGCATGAACGTTACGTGGGCTCATGGTAAATTATAAAATACACGTATCACCACGAACAAGAGCAGTTTTACATCATTTAAAAAACTGTTACTCGTGCACCTGCTGAAAAGGTCCCTAAATAACCACTTATAATAGTAAGATATCTCAAAGAACCAAGTAGAATAGTTGTAAGGCAGATTTTCATTTTGAATAAACACATTTAGCAAGTGGTTTTGCTTAGCTTATTTTTGTCCGTACGGAAAGAAGGTCTTGACTGCACTGTCTGCAATGCTCATTGAGTACAAGAGTGCAGTTTCACGAGGCTTTCTTCAGTTAATTATCCCCTCATTTTCTATAAGGCCACATTCAGGTAGTTTTGAGGCCTCTAATTCATAGATGGCAGGGTGAACTGTTGCGATTAGAAATAGTAGACTCTGGGGTGTAATTCAGGGTGTCATGTTTTAGGGGCGAAGTTCGTTTTAGTCTAACACTGTCATGCATCAGAAGTAACCAATAGAAGAGACTAGAAAGAACAGAAAGCAGTATCTACAGAACAGTATAATAGATGGCGCTGTCTCATATAAGTACATACAAACTGCAGTCGAGTGAGGATATTCTAGATGGCGCTGTACAGCTACTCTTCGATTGGCTGCTGCGTGGGCTGTGCCTGGCTACGAGGAGAACGAGTGACTTTCTCAGTCTTCTGGATAGTTGCCGTACGTGACGGATCGTTGGTGGGGCATGGAAGAAGCAGAGTGGCGGGCAAGTTGTTTTCAAAAAGCCTTCATGTGAGCACGTCTCCGTGTTTTAGGGTGATGACAACGTCGACCATGGTTGCTTAAAACTGGCTAAAAAAGCCGCAATGCTTGACGGGCCACCATCTTGGTTCTCAGTGGTCGCTCATTTACACTAAAGGCAGCGTGGGTTTCAACAAGAAGGAGGTGTTTTTTTTATATAGCAAGTTCACAAAGCTTAAGGGTTCTTTTCTTAAGTTAGCCACCATTTTGTAGAACAGGAAAGACATGTTCGTGACTCGAGTTTATATAAAATATGAATAAAACAGTTCATTTATCCTAAATTGTAAACCCACCGCATTGGTGGAGTGAGGATATTTAGAAAGCCTATATTTGCGAGGGAGAGAACCTCGATGTCACTGTGATTGGATTTGAATGTCTGCGTGACATTCTTGAAGCAAATTCACCTTACCGCTGCAGACACCTGAAGACACTCTATTCAAGGCTTGAGACCGTGCTGTATCATTTGGCGATACACATGATGACAGGGAAGGCAGATCAAACAGCCGGGTAGCTGATGATGTTATCTGTAAACTGCAAAATTCTGCTAGCCTGTTTCTCATATCCTAAATGTTGCTTTATATCAGTAATATAATTTCTTGCTGCAAGTTTAGTTCCAGCGAACGAATATGTAAATGGACTACTTAAAAACTTTACAAGCTGTAAGCATTGCCCGAAAATAGTAGGGCACTCAATAATATTACACTAACCCCCCCCCCTTACCCCACAAGCCTTTATATTAGGCTAGAAGAAAAACAAAATGGAGCAAGAAGTGACAAACCAAGTTTTTCCGGGTCAGATTTTATTCCCAACAGCTTCCAAACTGCATCCGGCCTTAATTTCGTCAGACCATCCTGCCTCCTTTACTGGACGCTTGTGCCCTCTCATTGGGCCTAGAATAAACAAATAAGGCGAAAAGTAACACACGGCGCCGACCACATATACGGAGTTCATAGCCATTTTCTCTACAAGCACTAAAAAAACTGAGTTCACAATATCAAATCATCTGTATGGCTGGGTATAAAACAAAGGGACGGCAAAAATAACGATGCACCACATAGGAAATATTCGAGTTATGGGCCAACAACCGACATGCTTAGTTGAAACATATACTGCGCCGTTCAGGACAGAGAGACAGACAGAAAGACGGACGGAGATGAACAATAAATCTGTTGCATTCTATATTAGTACAGTTCAATCCTTTTTGCAATTGTTGAGAAAGTTTCGGTATGGTTGCGCGTGTCATGGAAGGGAAGAGCGAATACCCCATAGGCACCCGGCAATGTAGTTTACGATATCTGATGGCAGCGCCAGAACACACATCCTAGCGAGTAGGCGCAGCAAAACTGAGTCTTCCAATGCGTAGCCTAGCGAGTAGACGCAGCAAAAGCGGGCTTGCACGCGCATATCATTTTCTTTTTTAGTTGTGAGAAGTGGGGTCACGGTTGCTTATGCATGCGCCCAGGAAGCGTTCTTTGAAAACGTGTCAAAAAGGGAACTGACACTTCAGAGTGTCACTGTGTTCAGCGAGCGTTTCATTTTCTTAGTATACCTGGCCATCGGTACCTACAATGCTGAGGGAACGGCTCCTCTATTTAGATGCCCGCCGCTTGAGAACAAAAAATTGCCCGCAGCTTCCCTCGGGGGAACACTGAGGAGGATGCGGAGCATATAATTGGTTAACGGGGTGTTAAAGTGCGACTTACTTGGGTCGATGGCTAAATTGGTTAACGTGGTTCTGAAATGGGGTGTTAAATTGCGACTTACTTGGGTCGATGGCTAAATTGGTTAACGTGGTTGTAGGAGGGGGTGTTAAATGAGTGAACACGTACACATGTATGCGAAAGGGCGGCGCTGGTCGAAGGGACGTCGATCATTGTGTTTGTGGATTCGTTGGAATTCATTTCACCGCGACCTTGGACGTCGACGCGCCGTACAAACCAACCGACGAGCGGCAACTGAGCGAGCGAGCGCCGACCTTGAGTATATATACAGCTCGACGGCGCATGCACTGTCAGCTGTTGAATGTTCTCGAAGCGCGACGCCACATGCGCGTCCACTGGAGAATCAGGAGAATTGTAGATGTCGAACGCGGTGTGTAGAGGAGGAAGGGTGCACAGATGGTGGAGGAGTGAAGCACGCGCGGTGTGTAGAGGAGGAAGGGATGCACAGATGGTGGAAGAGTGGGCGACGGCGCGACGGCGCATGCGCGCGCGTCAGCTGTCGAATGTTCGAGAAGCGGTGCGGACGGCGCGGACGGCGCACTACAAGGCGCGAGTATAAGATGCTTCCGCATCTAAAACAGTGGCCAAACACCCTTTCTCTTCTTTATTTTTGATTATTCTCAGTCTTTAGCCTCACCTGTGGCGGACAGTGCAACAACTCGACATTTTGCATAGACTCCAAAATAATCCTGTATAGTTGCAAATCTCGAATAACCCTCGAGTGACGCGCCCTTAGGGGCCTCAAGTAAAAAAAAAACGCCGTATTAATAGTGTCGGTCGCGAGCGCCACTGCGCTGTGCTTGCTGAAAACTGAAGGCAACACGACTCCGCTATCAACAGGAGCCATTCGGCAGGCATCTTAATACAGGAGGCGTTGGCTGAAGCGGCCAAAAAATTGCCCGCAGCTTCCCTAGGGGGAACACTGAGGAGGACGCGGAGCATATAATTGGTTAACGGGGTGTTAAAGTGCGACTTACTTGGGTCGATGGCTAAATTGGTTAACGTGGTTGTGAAATAAGGTGTTAAATTGCGACTTACTTGGGTCGATGGCTAAATTGGTTAACGTGGTTGTAGGAGGGGGTGTTAAATGAGTGAACACGTACACACGTATGCGAAAGGGTGGCGCTGGTCGAAGGGACGTCGATCATTGTGTTTGTGGATTCGTTGAAATTCATTTCACCGCGACCTTGGACGTCGACGCGCCGTACAAACCAACCGACGAGCGGCAACTGAGCGAGCGAGCACCGACCTTGAGTATATATACAGCGCGACGGCGCATGCACTGTCAGCTGCCGATGTTCTCGAAGCGCGACGGCGCATGCGCGCGCGTCAGCTGCCGATGTTCTCGAAGCGTGACGGCGCATGCGCGCTACATTATACAGCTAGCGAATGTTCGTGAAGAGGAGAAGCGCACGCGGTGTGTAGAGGAGGAAGGGTGCACAGATGGTGGAGGAGTGAAGCGCGCACGGTGTGTAAAGGAGGAAGGGATGCACAGATTGTGGAAGAAGGAGGAGGAAGCTTGCGGACGGCGCCGCACTACAAGCCTCGAGTATTAGATGCTCCGCATTAAAAAAGCTTCGTCGCGCCCTTTGGTCCACTGTCGGGTTCCTATGGCAAGCCGCACAAAATTTAGTTGTGTTGCAACTGTGAAAGACTACAAGAGTCTACATGGGACGCGTTCGTCGGCACGTCTTTCTACCTCTCCAAATGCTCTTCTTCAGCTACCGAGATGAAGTGGCAGGAAAGCGAACATCTGTCAGCAAACGAAGACACGAACGCGAGCGTCTGTAGGTGGTTTACGGGCCCGGCGTTTCCCGCGAGGAATGCGGTGACGGCTTAGGAAACTGATAAAACGATTGCCATGGAAACTGGGACTGGCAACATTGTGTTTTAGCGGGTGGTGGCAAGTGGTGGGTAAAAGGCTGACACCACCTTAAAAAATAGAGACGCGCGCACATGAAAGCTCCCCAGTTGTCTTAGGACGCTTGCGCTCGGTTTCCGTGGCTCGCGTCTCGTCGGTGTAACCCGTGCATCGTCTGCATTCTCGAACGTGATCGGACGCATGGACGCATGCAAAGACGGACGGGTACATGAATGGATGAACAGATGGACGCTTCGCCCCACTCATCAACAATCACTCCGTGGATATGCTAAGATTTATAATCACCATTCAACATGCTTGGGTTATTTGCCCGGTAACGAATAACATCATGACTTCTAGCAAATAAAAAAGCATAATACAACACTTCTACAAGATGGTTGCCCTGAATTATATACCTTGCTATTGGTCAGGGAAGCTGGCTAAGAGACGTCAAGTGGTCTGTCGAGGGTGAGCCGCAAGAATGAGCCCAGCTGAGTGGTTCTGGAATAAATTATATGATGATGATGCTATTAGTGAATATAATGCGTGTTTATGTAGATATATTATACCTGGGTATCGTTTTCAAAATCGCTATACAATAAAAATTCATCTAGCGAGACACGTGTTGATTAGCAAAAGATACCGCTGACCAAGTCAGTGAAACATTGTGTTTCGCGGCGGCTCAGAAATCTAACAAAAAAAAGCAGACATAGACTCTAAGTCTTTAAAGGTCAGTCGGGGCAAAGCTAGCCTCTAGTCTGTTTGATTCGATTGTATTCATCTCCCCGTATTCATCTCCCGAAGATGATTCTTGAGTCGAGCGCGTGTGGTTATCGATCTTGACGGCAGCAATCTCAGCTATTCACAAGAAAAAAGTCCAATATTGGGTTGAAATCAATTGCCTAGCATCATTTATTTTGACAGTCAAATGTCTCTCATACCCAGTAAACCGGCGCTTTGATATAATATAGTGTGCTATATAATAGTTAGCTTTGGCTTTGAGTTCCTCTATATATGCATTTATTTTTTTATAAGGTTCTCAAAACACTTGAGAAAATGCTCAACTTCCGCCTTCTCCAATAGTGAGTTGACCTTTTATTCTTCAAAAAACATGACTTCGTTTTTTTGCTAGTGCCATAAAAGTGAATCCACTGCAGTTCGGAAAGAATACGCAGAACGTTACGCAGGCTTGGTCGGTGATCGGAAATGCACTGTGTGCAACATAAATTTCTTATGCCTATGAAGAACAAAGCTCTGAAGGGACGTACTGGAAAGATACAGCAAGAGACAAAGTTTAATTTCTAAGGTTTTTCTGGATGCGCACACTGGGTTAAAGCTGATGTGATTGTCGTAGATCACACAATTAGCTCCTTTTTTCTTTTGTTACTTGGTACTGAAACACAGCAGAAAGGTATGACTTTGAAGACTGGAGGAAGGTCATTTTGCTTAAGAATATACTCTTTCGCAGGCTGCCCTGATGGCATCTACGGTCCCAACTGCGATTTTGTGTGCCCGAAATGCCAGAATGGCGGCGTCTGCCATGACATCACTGGGCAGTGTATATGTCCACCCGGCTTCAGGGGACAGACGTGCAATGAAGGTGAATACGCGGACTTGTTTGCTTACTTGTTTGTTTGTCGAGAACAATGAACCAAGACACTCACCAAACGGAACACTCTATTCAGATATGAACTATTTTTTGGCGCACATAACTCACTCATTCCGAACAAGGAATATCGTCATGCCATCCTTCGGACTGAAGGATGCGCCTTCGCCGTGACGTTGAAACTCTAGCAAATACAAGTTTGCTTTTGACGTGCTAGCTAGCCTGGCTATCATAGAGCTTTTTATTCGTTTCCTGTTTTTAACAATTCCAACACAGGGAGCTCGAGCACATTTACACTTAAGAAACACTTAGGGGGGGGGAGGGGGGGCTCTAGTGAAGCAAATTTTGTTCCCTCGGTTCCCGGTAAAATTCTGTGTGATGGCGGTAACGGTAAGCCATAGCACTACCTCCAAGAAAGAAGATGTTGGAGGCTGCCGGCGTGTCTGGCTTCGCCAGATTTGTATGCCATTGCCACGCCCGATGTTTTGCTTTCAGATTATGTTGAAGTAATGCCCCCCCCCCCTTTTTTTTTCAAAAAGCGGGCCGCTAAAAAAGCGACCGCACCGTGACGAATCAATGCACGTGCCGGAGTACAGTCAGTTATGCCTAATACAGTGTTCTGCCAGCGCCCCTGTATTACCGCACCACACCCTAAGACACTTGCCACTAATTTTCTGAATGCTTTTAACGCCCCAAACCTTCCATTTCAGTACCTACGATGGTGTATTATATAAGTAAGGTTTTCGTCTAATTAAAATTGCCAGACCACATCAGACAGCATATGAGGTCGCGCCTCATAGCCTTTTCCGAAATTCTGCGAGAATTCTTACGAACAGATGCTACGGGAAAAATAAGAACTATGGCATAGGCCACGAGGCCTTACCTGCGTGTGGCTTAGAACTCCCTAGTGGATTGATTAATTTATATGCTGGGCTTACCGTCTCAAAACCACCATATGATTATGAGAGACGCCGTAGTGGAGGGTTACGAAAATTTCGACCACCTGGGGTTCTTTAACGTGCACCCAAATTTGAGCATACGGGCCTAGAAGATCTCCGCCTCCATCGGAAATGCAGCCGCCGCAGCCGGGATTCAAAACCACGACCTGCGGGTCAGCAGCCGAGTACTTTAGCCACAAGACCTCCGCGGCGGGGCACCCCCTAGTGAATTAACCCGCCGAGATCAGGTTTTGTTATAGCGGCGTTGTTCAATAGTTAAGCTCAGCCTCTCTATGGTAATGGTGCCCCGCCGCGGTGGTCTAGTGGCTAAGGTACTCGGCTGCTGACCCGCAGGTCGCGGGTTCGTATCCCGGCTGCGGCGGCTGCATTTCCGATGGAGGCGGAAATGTCGTAGGCCCGTGTGCTCAGATTTGGGTGCACGTTAAAGAACCCCAGGTGGTCAAAATTTCCGGAGTCCTCCACTACGGCGTCTCTCATAATCATATGGTGGTTTTGGGACGTTAAACCCCACAAATCAATCAATCAATCTATGGTAATGGTCTAAACGCAACAGTACCGCAGTCCACTACATGTATTCCTGTCCATATTGCGCCGCCAGAATACTGGGAACTTGCCCATGTCTGCAGTTAAGTCATGTTCGCCACCTCCGTGGGACAGGCGTCTGGCCTTGCGAGCCTTGATCACTTTGATCACTGACAAGACTTTACTATGACTGAGTGTGCGCGCGTGTGCTGCCGATTGTGCTGTGTTTCTCTCTTCCCTCTCTGCTCTATCTTTCATCTCCCCCATCCCTCTCCCATGCGCAGAGTAGCAAACCGGCTGCCTATAGGCTGGTTAACCTCCCTTACGTTCTTTTCCCCCTGTTTTCCTTCCTTGATCACTGGATACACGACCATACCTTCGTATGCTTATTGACTTTCTGCGCCTATCAAACGTGTTCGTTTATATCTGATGCTCTACTTGAATGTATATAAGGAAGGCCTTCTTTTCATGAAATGAAGAGCAGATTTCCTGCTAGTAGTGTGAAAAAAGGGGGGTATGATAGGAGATAGTGCATTCCAATGAGAACAAATAAGTTATTTATTGAGTGTCTTCTGAGAGCAAGCGCTCGCACCCGTGCTCTAATTAGCCTTATCTAGAACTGTCCGCATTCAGGACATAAACTTGACAAGACAACAAATACCACTTACAGTGGATGTTGCAGTGTGAAAGAGGCTCACAAAGCATTTCCGACGAGCAAATTCTGCAAGGGCTAAACTGAGAACGCTTTGCTGCCGAAAGGTAATGTGAATGAAAATGTGCACTCTCCTATCAAGACCATGCTATACATTTTTTGCACTAGGAGAATTCTATTGCACAATTGTAGTGTTTCTTCTTCTTATGTATGTATGTATGTATATATACTATTACTAAATTATTCCAGCCTGTGGCGACGACTTTTTCGGGAAGTACTGTACTCGTCGTTGTTCGGACACGAATCAAGACAAGAAGCAAAGGACTTGCAGAGGCATACTCATGTGCTTACCAGACCCTTACGGCTGCTCGTGCGGCACGGGCTACCACGGCCCTTTATGCGACGAGAGTAAGTATTCATGCCGTCAGATGATGCTTTAGGTTGATTTTTTTTATTCGAATATATGCTTTACGGGCGTGTGTGAGGTATTACCTTTTATTAATGACACCTGCGAATGCAGAACTTTTCACCCAAAAGCTAATTCGAGTAATGAAAGGAAATTGCGAAATGAATGAAATATTTTGCATATTTTTAGGTATGATGGATCCTAAGTGACTTTTTACTCCAACCAGACATCTCAAATGGCGTTGGCCGTACGGCAAACCATTAACAAATTATACATATTTTTTCAACGATATTGCCTAACAGTAGTGCATATGCAGTTATTTAAGATGTAATAAGGAATGAATAGGTGTTTTGTATGCTCATAGAGCAGCGAAAACACCATGTACATCATCAGTGCTCCCCACAAGATGATGAGCCCCTAAAACTAGCATGGAGTACTGCACGTGTCTCATCTCAGGATGAGAGTATAGTACTGGGCTTCCTTATTTTAGGCGTTTCGTAGTTTTATTTATATTAATTTCGGCACTCTATGCGAAGAAAGTACTCGCGGACATACACAACAGGGCGTAGACAGAGGATGGTACACCAAACACGTGCCCCCCCCCCCTCCCCACCCCTAATTTTTTCTGCCGTGGCATAGAGAGCAAAAAATGGTCATTCTAAGGGGTGCCACTCCCAAATTCAAGGTGTTGCTTCCCCCCCCCCCCTAGAATACAATTTCTGGCTACGCGCCTGATATACAATGACATTCTATGGGCTCTACCCTTTTACAGCTGACACGTTTGCAAAAGTATTGTGAGGACGGTGGAAAGAGGGGCGGCTGAATTTAATTTGTCTAATTGTGCGTTTCTATCGCGAGGAGTTTGCCACAGGTGCGTAAATCATCATACTGATTTAAAAAAATGGTATGAATATTTGATGGGCTAACATTTCAAATACGAAAAGTGAATTAAACACCGAAGACTATACCATACTACTGGTATCAAATATTCGAAGTGTGCATGATTGGCACACGCACCCTTTTACACTACTGAGCACGTACGTCACCAATCCTTGATTGAGCACGTACGTCACCCATCATTGATTGAGCACGTACGTCACCCATCCTTGAAGCAACCAAAGCGCAGTTGCTTTAGTTGCTGCGCAGATGCTCACTCGCGCAGAAGCGTACCAAAGCTACAGGGACAAACGAAAACACTCGCCACGGTCATGGAACTCGACTGCTGACCTGAAGACTACGGCATCGAATCCACGTCATGACGGCCGCATTTCAAAAAAATGGGAAGCTGGAGGCCCGTGTTCTTAGATGTAGGTGCAAGTTAAGGGAAGTCGAATGTCCTTGCTTCCGGAGTGCTCCACTGCGGCGTCCGTCAATCTTTTCATGTTTACGAGATGTGAACAACCTACAAGTATTAAATTGAGATAAAAAAAGCCAGAACTGACCACGCAGTTTTTACAATACTGCTGCATTGCGTTTATAAAGCTATAAAAAAAACCTCAAACTAAACGCATTTAAATAATTGTCATTGTGTTTTCAGTTAGTTACTGTGTCCTTTGCTTTCATTTAGGTGTGCAAACCACTGCGAGATCAAATACTTGTTTTTAGTTAGTTATGGCAAGACATATTTTACATTGAAGTGGCTAATTAGAGGAATGTGAAGAATGCATCATTTTATCAAATAAAAAAGACACAAAGAACTACGCTGTGACTGATAGTTCTCAGTTCTTTATTTGTTCGTGTTTGTGATGTCCTTCTCGGGGAGAAATGTCAAAAAGAATTGAAACGCCATGCGTTTTCAAAGAGACTGCATGGCGATGTTCTTTTCCGTTTTCGCACGTCATGGTGCAAACCAACCAACATAATACACAATAGAAACTACCGCTATACTCGGCGACAGCTTTTCTTGACAGCACTGTGGAAGCTACAGAGCCGAACCGCCTGCATGCGCGCGCGCCAGGAAATAGTACCTATTTTATTTTCTGATTCTGATAGCTACTTGGCCCGAATAAATAAGACTTTCGTCATTATAAGGATAGAACAAGTATGGGACGCTGTTCATGGAAAAGAAGTTATCGTGTACCCTAGTTTTTTTTTCTTTTTTATTTCTTGGACGGCACCACGTTTTCCGCACGCCGGCTGCGTCTACTGCTTGCTCTTGCAGCGGCGAGCACAGCATCGGCCGTGGAAAAGCTGCTCATCGTTGGGACGCGCCGTCTTTTATACATCACGCATCAAACTTTCCAGCCTTATCACTGGTGGCCGCGCAAGCTCTGAAATAAGCTTCACTGTTCGCGTCGTGCGCGCAATCTTAACAACGATCTACAACAATTGTGAGGCTTCTCGAACACTGAGGCGCAGTCTGCACCGATCATTGCTGACAGCCTTTGAGGGCGTAAACCGAATACAGCAAAACTGAAACAAGGCAGGCCCGTGTCCGGATCGTGCCGCAACCGGCCTTCCATTTCGCCTGTACCAGGGCTCAATACCGTAAACGTTAACATTCGATCACGTGTGGCGCGTACCCGTATTTACTGGGCTCAACACGGAACATAAACTTCACTGTTATAAAGGCTGTATAATGCAGGGAAAACGTTCTGAACAACGGAAAAGTTTATATGTACCAGTATATAAACAGCACAGTAACTAGCTGCATGTATGCACTCTCATCAAAGTTGAACTCTGACGTTCCCATTTTGCATGCATACATTTTTCTATGATAAACACACTAGCGCAGCGAGCAAGCGAAAACCGAAACTGGAACCGAAATCGGCTGCAAGCTGCCGGACTACTTGCGTAGTAACACAAATGTGCGGAGGCCCCGCCTCCGTAGCCTTCGCTCAAATGTCAAGAAAAGCTGTCGCCGAGTATAAAAACGCGAAACTTTACTGATTAAAAATTCACTAGAATATGCAAAGAAGTTTAGTCTTAGCATAAGGTGGACATTCTCAACCAACGTTACTAGATACTTTTTTCAGTTTGCAAACTACGGCGCCGCGAGTGTCACCCTTCCCTGTACCTGTCAAAAAGCCACAAGCGCGCCCCCTCTCGGCGGTGCCGTCTGACAACGGCACCGACGCTGTCAGCGTTGGCGTGATCTGCATGGTGCCGGGTGTTTTTTAATGTCTTCAACTCAGTCATCGCTTTCCCTGTGAGCTACACAGCTCACATGTGTCATGTGACGGTTCTTGAATGTGAGAAAACATGCCTCGCTGCTTTGTGACTGGTTGCCGAAGTGGGTACGATTCGACGAAATCCGCGGCTGAAAAGAGACATTTTTTCAAGCCTCCCGCTGACGAGGTGCGCCTTCAGAGATTTCAACCATAAATTAGAAAGCAAGGAAAAGGTGGCTGTAGCAAACAAAAAAGCACGTCTCCTGTAACTCTGGCTCTTGCCTTTGAAGAAAAGTGGCTTCCAGTTTGTTTGTTTGAGTGTTCAGAAAATTGTGTTTAATTTGACTTTGTTCAGTGTTCAATAAATTGTGTTTAATTTGACTTCGTGTTCTCGTCATCTCGCGCATTTTATAGCCTCAAAAAGGCCAAATTTTTATTGAAGTAGTTCGGTATCTTTCTATGCTATGCACTTCGATTCAGGTGCACGTTAGAGAAACCCCAGGTGGTTAAAATTTCCAAAGCCCTTCACTACGACGTGCCTCATAATCATATCGTAGTTTTGGCCCGTACAACCTTCGATATTATTGTACGATGAGCCACGCACTACAGCCATCTAATGACGCCGGATATGTTAAAGTGTAAAGCCCAGAACGACTTGTTCGTTCCAGATAACTGAATCGTATGATTCGCATTCTTTTAGAAGAAAGATACCGAACTACTTCAATAAAAATTTGGCCGTTTTAAGGCTATGAAATGTGCGAGACGACGAGAACACAAAGTCAAATTAAGCACAATTTATTGAACACTGAACAAAGTCAAATTAAACACAATTTACTGAACACTGAAACAAACTGGAAGCCACTTTTCTTCAAAGGCAAGAGCCAGAGTTACAGGAGACGTGCTTTTTTGTTTGCTACAGCCACCTTTTCCTTGCTTTCTAATTTATGGTTGAAATCTCTGAAGGCGCACCTCGTCAGCGGGAGGCTTGAAAAAATGTCTCTTTTCGGCCGCGGATTTCGTCGAATCGTACCCACTTCGGCAACCAGTCACAAAGCAGCGAGGCATGTTTTCTCACATTCAAGAACCGTCACATGACACATGTGAGCTGTGTAGCTCACAGGGAAAGCGATGACTGAGTTGAAGACATTAAAAAACACCCGGCACCATGCAGATCACGCCAACGCTGACAGCGTCGGTGCCGTTGTCAGACGGCACCGCCGAGAGGGGGCGCGCTTGCAGCTTTTTGACCGGTACAGGGAAGGGTGACACGTTGGGTGACACTCGCGGCGCCGCAGTTTGCAAACTGAAAAAAGTATCTAGTAACGTTGATTCTCAACGGTGAGTATTAGAAACTCATTGATGATGATGTGTGAGGGTTAATTTAACGTCCCAAAACCACCATATGATTATGATAGACATGACTATTAGCAACGTGCGGTGAAGGGCGGGGCAGCACTGGAGTGTGCCACGACAATGTTGGCAGGTGACAAAGATTGTTGGTGGCGAAATGACTCAGTCTTCTACTCTGACTAGTGTAGGACAAACCGCAACAAGAGCCGGGACAACACTCGATTTTGGCTGTGTTCCAACTATAGACAGCATCGAAGGTACTCTACTCAGATAGTTTAGGCGACAGCATCGTACCCATGTTGTCCGAGAGATGGAACGCGTCTGAATGGTGTCTACGCGACGAGACGCCACCACGCGTCGAGAAGAGAAAGCTAAGATAAAGAAATGTATTTGTTATTTTTTTATCTTAATTCTTGTTCAAATCTATGAAACGTGGAACACCACAATGAGCATCTGAAAAAGCGTCTGCTTGTGTGAGATGGCCATTCCCGCGAGATCCGAGCAGTTCGCTAAGCCGCCATCTTGTTTAGAAAGAAAAGTAGCCTGCATTGTTTTTAGATATGACGCAGCTCTTTGACCGACGTTTGTAACGCCGTAAGTACGTACGTGCGTCCGTACGAACGCCCCGCAGTGTGTTCCGCTTGATGCCGATGTTGGAGCGGTGTCAAAAAGGTTACGCTGCAGTTGCGCGTTCACGACACACTCCCCTCGCAAGTGCACGCTGACGTCACTTTCTACCTCACTCACAGCACGCTCGCCGCAGCGCCCACAGCTGCCACTTCGACGTCGCGTGTCGGCTGGAACCTCTCAGCGTGCACTTCACCGATCACAAGGCCATGATAGCCAAGGTGAAACGCGCACCTGCTCCGGTCCAGCGCCCTTGTCTTGACTCTGAAGAAACGACGACTACGAAATCTCGCGAAAGGCTTTATCGAAACTAACACGAAACCCAACCCGCTTCCCATGTATTCGCGTTCCAAACAAACGTTTACTCGAGTAAACGCTACACCCAGTTTCGCTTCAAACCGTTCTTCCAGTACCCGCGTCGACAACCGTTTAAACTTTGTCGACACCGTGCGCATCACTGCTGCTTCGCATCTCATCAGGGTTCCCTTGAAGATATTATGATCCATATGTTTTTGTAGGCGATGGCGTCTTCTTGAAACTGTCTATTGTGCCGATAGCGTGAGAATTGGAATGTGATCGAAAATGGCCGCCGTCCACTTAGCCGTCTATTCCGCCGTCTACGATCAGTATTGGAACACTACCTGTGCTGTTGGTAGTGGCATTCTTCTCAGAAGTAGACATTGAGGGCATCGTGCAGCCGTGTGCTTTCTTGTGCGGCTTCCATTGCGGCAGCGCACCTACCCTTTTCTTTAAACCTGCGTGTTTTATCTCGAAATCACTTTGTGCTTAGGTCTACCAGAAAACTGACAAAAAGTCTAAAGAAATTCTTTCGATTACGGAAGTACAGCCCACGACCTGTTTTACCATGGCAGTAACGACGGGGTACTCTATCCATCTCACTACCGTCACATGAGCAGGTTTCACAAAGGGCCTTTTATCTATTACACTTTGCACTCACAGTACTTTTCCAGGTTGGCTGGTTGGTGCAGCCATCTTGGAGCGGTCAAGGTATGCATCATAGCACTAACGAGTGCCTAGTGAGAGCATTTAGATAGTCCCTGCGCAACGGTGACTTTCACTGCAATAGTGCAGGAAAGTCTTGGTGAAATGCGCCGTGCGTGGGGACTCAACTTTGCGACGACACAGTCACGTGCTACGCCTTTCAGTTCAGCGTGCAACGTCTGCTCATCACAGTACGGCAGCTTCCTAATAGAATAAACATTGTTTCTTCGCCGCCTACTAATTCGAGCGTGGTATCACTGATGAATAAAACGGTGCGGTAACTGCCGCAGAAAGCCACCGACATCAAAGGGCGAATATTATGCAAACGTGTGCTTCGCACACATTTGCACGATATTGCACAGACACACACCAGCGGGAAATGAAACGACTTGGCGTTCTCGTGACTCAACCTGAGCCTTCCGTATGTATGTCCCATTCTTGTAGCGATGTGTTGTACTGCGTTAGCAAAGGCGGAGGATAGCCTTTTACTCGGGAGGGAATCTTTTCGCGTTTGTTTCCTAAAACGACGTCGTTTTGAAGGAATGTATACCAAGCACCAGTGTTAATAACCAAGCACCAGTGTTAATAACGTGCAAATTGACGCCATTTTTGCGCGGGAACCAGTATATGTGGTGGATAGGTTGTTAACTATGATAGCTACTCCAATCGCCTAAATGTGATCATGGACGTTAGCCGTAGGGGGAGGGGGGACATGTGCCACCACGCAGTCAACGTTAGTGCACAACCATTAGGTGGTACTATAACTGGGAAACATCAATAGACATTGTGCAACGTATGTTAAACTACAATAAACTATTTCTCTGAGGATACTTTCACTATCCCGCTGCACCAACTTATATAAAAATATCATCCCTGTTTTTAAAACAAGCTCCAGCAGTTCTTGTTCCTATAAAGAAAAAATATCAAACACACCACAGCTAGAGGGCCTCAGTCATAAAGTTTGGCTTGAGAAAAAAAACAAGGCACTTAAGTATGAAAGGGGTAGGAGGGGGGAAGAGATCTTGAACGAAAATCTTACCTAACGCTACAGTTTGAAATAACTTATTTACTAAATATCATATATGAATATTGCTAAAGAAAATTGGCTTCATCATTCAAGAAATATATCTATACTGTTCTCCAGAGTTATTAAATTTCGATGGCGATTCTGAAATATATGGTTTTTATTCCGCCGACACGTTTTAATCAGAAGTTACCACGTGCGCTGCCTCAAAAGTGAAGTGCTTGAGAGCAGCCTCGTCGATGTAGCTTACGCGAACAAAGCGTTATTTATCGCATTGAGCTAGCGAACAACGCGAGTAGAACATTGCAGTCACACATATTTTATTTCTTGTGAAGCCGCGGGCCCCATGCGGCCCACGTTTGTGATACCTTTACTGTAAATCATAAGTTGCTAGGCTTACTTGCTTGACATAATTTAACATGAAAGTGTTTCATGCCGAGGTTCACCAAGACACCACTGACGTATTTCCGTCACGGATATGATGGTAATAACCCCAATATTGTTGACGATGAAAAAGTTATTGAAGAAAAAATTTGTTGACGCTAATCTCCTGGGAAACCCACGTGCCACCTCTAGTTTGGAGACAAGAGGTGCCTCACTCTCTGCGTGCTGGGCTACCGACTTACATATAAGAGACTCGAGAAACACGTCTTACATCCCTCACACGTTCTTTCATCGCACCACGTGTTGGTGGGATAGTGTCACCGTGTGGGAATGTTAGGGTGAAGCAATGCGTCTAGACATTTACGGGTGCCAATAGTGAGTGGTTCGATGACAAGTTTATTTTGAAGGATTTTAGATGCACATTGGGCAACCGTAATACAAAATTTCATACATTAGTGTGCAAAACCGATGAGTTATACATCTGGGAAGACACGTTTGACTGTTGTGTTTACAGATTCTTATTTCAGAGGGACCAGCTCTAAAGATTTGCGCTCCATGCTCACATATTAGGAGTTACCGTTTAGCATTGGAAACGTACTTAATTCAGCCGTGAAACACGAGCAGCTGATGGAACTGTACGCCAGCAGAATCCTGTAGTAGTGGTTCGAAATATGAAGTTGGCGCCGTCTATATTTCCCGTTCCTTCTCATCAAGCGGCCTTAGCCAAGACTTGTTGTAACGCGTACACCAAGGTTTATCGCGCGCGAGGTATAATAACCATGTCTTAATGTCAAAGTGTCACCACACATCAAACACAATATCGTTGCAGCGTGTCCGCCCAACCAATATGGAGCTGACTGCAAACAACATCGAGTATGCTTCTGCGAGGTGGGCGAGTTCTGCGACGTCTACACAGGCACGTGTCGCCGGGGCCTAGGCAGGTGTCCGGCTAGGCTGGAAAAACTCACCATACTGCGATCAAAGTAAGAAAGATGCGCTCTGCTTTCTCAACGCTCCATTTTTGCATATAACGAGACATGCACGAAGCATGCGTTGATTTTTCTTTATTCGGCAAATTACTGCTAGAATGCCTATATTAGAAACTGGCTCAATTAAATATGCACAAGGGCATGAAACTACTCTCCTCCTGCTATTTGTTTATTTATTTATTTCCGTTTTCATTTTTTTGATGCACTGTTCTTTTCCTGCATGGAGGAAAAGGCATGCCTTGTACCGCTGTAGGTGGCTGTTTGCCTGTTCTCTCCCTCATTCTTTAGTGCCTTTACATTTCGGCATGTGTAAACCAAATATAAATATTATTACATAGGAAAAACACGCGAAAGCAGTGTCATAAACGAACTTACCGCCGTTATCAAAGGAAGTTACACTAAAGCTGCTTCACACCTAATAAATATCGTTTTGTGCATGCCAGTAGCTGATGTTTCTTGAACTAATTCCATGTGAAGGTCGTCTCATCAATAGATTTTCTCTTGTACACATTCACTCATCTAGAGAGCCTGCGTGTTAGAAAGAGGCTGAATGCAGCAAAACGGAGGAAGAAGCACTCTGGCCATTTTTTTTTGTTGTTTTTTGCAGTGCTCTGCAAGCATATTGGCATCTAAGGCAACTGAGACATTTTGTATTTTCTGCTGCGTATCACTTTTATGGAAATGTGGCCGCCAGGTCCACTTAAGAAGCCTGAGTCGTCGAGTGCGACCGTATTTCTTCCTTTCGTCTTCCGTTTTTTGCTCCATTCTCTTTTTCTCTCATTTTTTCACTCCCCTTCTTCTTTTTGTCGCAGTGCAGGGTAGCCGACCGGACTTGTGTATAGTTAAACTCCTTACTTTCTTTCTCTTGTATTGCTTTCTGCTTTTCTTGTGGTGGGCTGCTTTTGTTAACTCAAATGGGCCCCACCCGATGAGCACATCACTGCCGCTCTTTTTTTTTCTTCGACAAAAAAAAAAGAGCCGTTTCCCCTTCGCTGTATAGCAATCAACAAAATCGTGTTCTTCCTCTAAAACAACATTCATTAGCAAAAATTCAGATAGATGCTTGCGCAAACTTTCGAATGATTCGAATATTTGAAAGAATAGTAGAGTATTCAAATTTGCTTCCATTTGGATTTAAATTTTGAAAGTTTTGAAGTATTCGCAATAAACAAATAGATGCGTATTAGTACGCATGTAGCTGCTTTTAAAAATTGTTTCACTGCTGTGCAGAAATACTAAGTGGTGAAAGCACCTGTTCAAAGAAAATTGATTCTGCCACGAAGCCTCACTGCAAATTCAAAGGGGCCCTGCAACATTTTTTAAGCATGATCAGAAAGCGCCGCCGATCGCTGGTTGAGGCAACCGACAACACGTGAGCCAAATATCATAGCACAGGGCGCGGCGTGCAGTTCACAATAAATTTTCAAATTTAGCTAAAAATTGTTCTCTTCGTTGAGCAAACGGCGCCACAAGCTCAATAATCCCTTCACACATTTATTGTATCAGTCAATGACTGATTTGAGCTTGGCACGCTTGGTCGTTACTGGGGCTGCCACAGGATGCCGCCACTCGTACACGCGTACGTGCACAATCCCATTGGAAAGCCACGTATTCGAAAAAAAGAAGAGAAAGTGTTCAAGGATCACGAGGCGCGCGTGACGTATTTTCTTTCACCAAACCATCCCTCCCTGCTTATCCCCCAGCTCTTTTGCAGGACGAGAAAAGGGGGGAAGCGATTGCAGCGTGTGCAAAATCTTTAAAACTCTGCAGGTACTGGACAGACTCTAAAAGTTTTTGCACCGGTGCATTCGTGAGCCAATAAGCTTCTTTAGTGATTTGATTCTATGGCTACCTGAAAAATGTGTTGCAGGGCTTCTTTAAACGAACATAATACGTTCAGATCTATTCATTATTTTTAATTGTAAAAGCTTGTTACGACGGCTTAGATGCTCGAAATAATGTATATTTTAAAATGTTCCATATTTTGCAGGTTATACCTCAAATTGTACCGAAAGTCCTATCCTGTCAGATTTCAAAGTTGAAATGCTTCGAATTGCTTTGAAAAAGAAAAAAAAGGAATTTGGCCCGATGCCTTATTTCAATTAAAAACATATTCTGCAGGTTAGTCAGGTTATGATAAATGTGCCCAGTTTTTATATGCTACATATACTATTCGGATTCGCTTCGAACCTAAAATTCACTATTCAGCCAAGCCTATTCAGCACAGCCAACGTGGGAGTGGCCCGCAATTCTACCCCTATAAAACGGGGGTGGAATCCATCAGGACCCTAATAAAAGTTTTTCATCCATTTCATGTCTATTGCATGTAGCCTAACTTTTTACGCGTCTTTATGTTGTTTCACGTTAAAGCTTTAGGATGCAGGGTTTTCTACTTACTACGCTTGAAAGCACCGGATAGGTCACCGGCCAGGGAGAAGAGGGCGAAATGGGTATAACCCCGGGTAGTCAAATATAAACAAGTGTTGACCACTCAGGCATAACTTTCACATTGTGGCTTTCCCAGTCTATGTTCCATGAATCATTGACTCCAACATAGAAACAGACTGTCCCGGCCACATTCACGGTACTCAAGCAAAGTATGACCAACATTTACACTGTTTGACAAGGTGATTGCCGTCGTTAAAGTGACATACAATAATGCTTTCATGAATAAATTTCAGGCTATCCTCTTCTGAACGATGCACCAGTTGTTAGTGATGTAACCAACAAAGAAGCAACAGTACGATTCCGGGCATGGCGCCGTGGTACTGATATAGGCGAGGGAAATCCTGTGCGGTATTGGGTTCAGTACAAGGTAAGTTGGCATTCTTGCTTTTTTCTTGTCTCCACTGCTAGACTGCGAGGCTTTTATTACAACATCAAACATTATTTTTATTACGTGTGCCTACAAAGCCTATAAGCTAGCACGAAATATTTTTAAATGCCATCTCATGATTCGGGGTTTTCGTATAGAAGATTAGCCAAGTTTTTTAGCTGCGATGTATATATATATATATATATATATATATATATATATATATATATATATATATATATATATATATATATATATATATGCGGTGCGAAATGTGGTTATTTATATTTAATATTGAGAAGATGTCATCGTCTCAAAGGGAGTGCTAACTTGAAATAGCACATGAAAGCGAAGGCCAATCAGAGGAACATTCTAGTTCTAAATGAATTATTTCACAATGACAAAAGGTAAATTATATCAATAAAAATATATTTGTGATTGCTCCAGGCGCCGAACTACTTGACTGAATTAGGAGGTTATAACAAGTGGAGAGAAATGCAAAGCGACTTTATGGATCGTTAAAAAGATTTTTATATTATTTGAAAAATGTTGTTACAATTACCATGTATTTAATTGTCGCATTATACAATGCAATTATACTGAAAAACGTGACAAGTAATGCGCTTACCTTGGAAGCTTGTATGTTATTATTTGCTTCATATTTTGTTGTAGCTGGTCGCTTAGTACAACATAAGACAGGTTGATCGCTTTAAATATTTATGCTGTCGTAAAACATCGAAAGCTCATTATGGCATTCTGAAACATATAAACTTGATGTATCTTCCGGTCACTGAAGTGATAAGTTTTTACGCCCACGTTTTTTTTTTTTGTAGAAGTGATTTTTGGTAACGGGAAATGTGGTGGCATATGTAAGATGTGCATTACTCACAGATAATTCACAATTCTCACAAATCTATGCGCCAAGCGCTCCACTGACTTTGTCTTCACGCAATACCAGCTCAAGCTACAAGCTCTAACTCTCGCGTTTCTGAAGTGCTGAGTGGCACATACGTGGGAGAACATGCGTAGGTTACCCATAACTTGCCAGCACACACCCCTGCGCTTCTGTACTCAAGCACTGCTGATTTAAATGAGTGCATATCTAGCCTCGGTGCCAATTATGTGCACGCGCATGCTGTCCTTGAGCTGGTTTTAAGCACATGCTGTTCCCACGAGTATATTAAAGGGCCCTGCAACAGTTTTTGAGCATGTTAAGAAAACACTTCGGATCGGTAGTGAAGGCTCCCAAGAAAACGCCAGTCAAATGTTAGAGCGCCGCACGCGGCCTATATTTCACAATAAATTATCAAAATTGACAAAAAAATACCTTCTCTTCTTTCGACAAATGACGAAAGGTGCTCCAAAATCACTCGTAAAAGGCCATCTATCAGCCATTGGCTGACTCGGACGAGGTGCACTTGGCCGTTACAAGGATCGCCGCGAGAGGCCATGACTTGTCTACGCGTACGTGCGTGTTTACACTGGCAAAGCCGCGTATTCGAGGGAAAAAAAAAAGAAAAAGTGTTCAAGATCACAAGGCACGCGTAACATATTATCTGTGCTCCGGTCATCCTTCTCTGCTTAGCTTCCAGCGCTTTCGTCGGGAAGAGAGAAGAAAGTATGCGTTTGCAGCGTGCGACAAATCTTTGCAAACTCCACTCGTACTGGACGGATTCTTGAAGTTTTTGCGGTGTTGCATTCATGAGGCAATAAGTTTTTTTTTGAGTGAATACATTTCATGGTTACTTTGTTTCAGGGCCCCTTTAACTCCTTCTGTTACCACAAAATTTATTCCTAGTCGGATATGTTAGTTGTCGGGATAGAGATGAGTCATGAGGCGGCTGATTTGGTGTATTGACGTTTAACAGTGATATAACCACCGAAACCAATGTACACTATTAGACTCTTATACCGATGTAGAATAGACATTCAACTACTCTGTAAAGGAACGATTCATTTTCGTATTACAGAGATCCCTACGAGAGAGAAACCAGTAGACATTGAGAGAGAGATAGAGAATATTTACTGAAAGACGGAGAAGTCGACCTGAGCAACAGTTAACTCTGGACTGCTATCCTACACTGAAGAGGGTGGAGAAGAGAACGGCAAAAAAGATAAATGACGATGGTAAGATAGGGAGATGAGAATATAGTACTTTTTCGCTAGGGCAAATCTAAAAACGTGCATTCAGTCCTGCTGACTTGTAAAAATGCTACGACGGCTCCTGTAGCCACATTTGTGCTGCTGGCGTCAGGCCAAAGACCTAACATTATTCAACCTTTAGTATAACGACTCCTAAGCTAATTGCTTGTGATAACCATGTCATGTCGCTGTCAGCCTGGCCACCACGGGTAATAACAATATCATCTGAGGTTTAAGGACCCTAAAGCACGATATGATTATGAGAGACGACGTTGTGGAGCGGTGTGGAAATTTCGGTGATGTGGTGTTCCCTCAACGTGCACTAACAACGCACAGTACACGGGCCTGTAGCATTTATCTTGCATCGTGATGAGGTTTACTCAGCCGGCATCAAAACGACCAACGTACGGTTCAGCAGCCGGGCACTGCTAAGAAACCGTGAAGGAGTGGTTGGTACATTTAATGCTGGCTTTGTCGCAAGAGCTCCGGTGTGGCCAATATGACACGTCAATACGTCAGTACACGTCAGTACATGAATATTACACGAAGTAGAGGAGCTTGAAATGGAAGTACATGCGTTAATAAGCCCTGATTATTTGAACTTCAGTTCTTGCACACCGTACTAGAGAATGTTTCGGGTCTGTTCAGTACGAGTGTAGTTTCAAATATTTGTCCCACGCTGTCATTTTTCACTTTTCTCTCGTCCTGATGAAAGCGATGGAATCTAAGCAAAAACGGATGAAAAGGGAAGGAGGTACAAAAAGAAAGACCAATGCTTAAAAGATGGGGACTAGAAAGTACGCCACACAATGCGCCATTTACACTTTTTATTTTTGTTTTTTGTTGCAAGAAAATAAGTGGAAAATCGAGTGTCCTGGCACATGCTTGGATCTGATCGTCATGAAAAAACTTCAATAAGTTTTAAAAGCAATAAAATATACTCATCACTATACGGTTAACTTGTCATTAACATAATACAAGCAGCTAGGTACACGTCAACTTGTGTATCATCTAAGAAACTGATTTCTTCTTGCCCCGGGATAAAGAATCCGTGCTGACACACACGTTGACATTACTGTTAGTAGCCTGAGCTTCAAGAAGCCGCACGAACGCTTGGCGATCACTAGCAAGCACCTTAGACGAATTAAGCTCCAGAGAACATCTGTACTTTCCACAATGTAGGGCAATGTTGCTTCTCTGCTTGTGGTTCAAGTTTATTTAAGTGTTCTGTGAATGGCGTGTTGAGACACGTCCCCGTTTTTCCAATGCAAGGAGGACCTCAGGAGGGCCTCATACAACACACTCAAGGCGCACTTCGGAAACAGTCTAGCGTGGTGCGTGTATTGTACGGCGTGCAGCTTTCTACTGTCCTTTTCCGTTATCTCTTCTGCCAACTAGTTGCGGGTTGAAAACACTATTATTTCCATAACCCCTGCTACTTTTTTAGTGCCATGTCAAACCCTGTCATTATAGGAAATCGCACTGGCCTTCTTCCACTTTCTAATTTTTTCTATAGACAGACTACCTCTTTCCCCTACTGACTAAATTCGTTACAGCGGTCTTTTCCTGACTCAAGCACCCCATTCGCAGTTGCCCTCTCCTCCTCCTCCTCCTTTTTCTTGAATTGTAAGAGACAGTATGAAATATGTACACACTAGCGCTAAGGAAACAAGTTCCAGCCTTGAAGACAAGACCAGTTGTCGGAACTTCGGCTGGGGCGCACGAGCCCCCAAACTTTTTCACTGCAAGCTTCCATGAACTCCTTCATGTCGTATTTTATTATTGGAATTGTTCAAAAGAACAAAACACCGAACTAATATTTACTTATGGCTAAGAGTAGTAGTTAACTGACGGGATTTTACGGGTCAAAACCACAACATGATCATAATGCAGGCTGCACGTGTGAACTCCGCAGAATTTTTGCCATTCGGTGTTTTTCTACGCGCTCACTACATGTGTCAACGTGTTTTTTGGAACTTCCATTTCCTTTCCCTACATATCAGCGCCCCACTTTAACGACTAAGCTATCATGGCAGATATCCAGGCCGCATTAAAACACCCTAAGACTGTGTCAGTTGTTTTGTTTCATCGGTGGTGCGATATTCATACACCTAGCGTGCGCACAGTTTTTAGCCATGGTGATATTTTAATGTACCTGAATATATAAAACAGGCTGAAAATGAAACCTGGAGGAGCACAGTGATCAACGCAACGCGGACGCCGCATGCTACAGTGGTAAAAGGACTTCGTAGTGGTACCTTTTACGATCTCCGCGTATTAGTCATCGACGAAGACAACAAGTACAGGGAACATGGGGCAAACGTGACTCGCTTCAGAACAGCTTGTGGAGGTAAGCACGTTTTCCATTTCTCTTTTGCAGCTTACATTATTGTCGTAAAGCGTACTATTTTGCGTTTCAGAACCACAGCGACCTCCTCAAAATGTAAACATAAACAACAGCAGCACGAGCGAAATCATCGTCACGTGGACGGTAAACCACCTTCTTCCTTCTTTAAGAGGGCAGTTTCAGCTTCCCTATCAATAACTGAACGTATACTTATTTCCGTGGCTTCCAACGCTGTGGAAAGTAAAGAATTATTTTTGTTTACCCTTTAAGTAGGAAGAAAGACTGCTTAGGGACCTGTATTTTTTGAGTTCGTACTAACTGCGTATTTTGCTTCCTTCAACTAGCTAGCTAAGAGACACGCCAACTCTTCTTGAAGACGATTATTCTCACATCAGAGAGTCACCAGACCCAAAGTAGAGTTAAGGCAACTTCTAAAGAGGAGTTGGAACATTCGTGATCACAGGGTGTCGCTGAAGCCGATGTTTGAGTGTAGTAATGATAACGTGATACGATCAACGTCCCAAACACACGATATGCATATGAGAGACGCCACCGTGAAAGGCTGCGAAAATTTCGACTAACTGGGGTCCTTTAAGTGCAGCCAAATCTAAGTGCACGTGCGTGAAGCATTTTCGCCTCCATCTAAAGTGCGGCCGCCGTGGCCAGGATTCAATACGGCCACCTCAATATACCACCATGCCGGGTGACTATTCGTCAAACTGATTTGTCTTCTTCAGGCTGCAACAGAAGACACGTGTGCTTGTTGAAATGTCAGCTTCAGCGGCAACTCATGTTCACGAACAGTTTCCCTCATTAGGCATTGGTCTTCTCCTGAACTTCTACTTCTTTGAATAGAGTCATCTACATGGGAGATCAGACCTCACCGTAAAGTGCTCCTTTTTCTTTTAGAGTCTAATCTATATACCCGGTGTTCAAAGTATAGCTGATATTTTTTTTTACATACAACACTGGGAAGACGATGAAAACCATATTTGCAGATAACTTTTGTATTCAGGCTGGATTCCAAAGTGAGAAACATTTATGGCGGCCAGTGGCCCAATTTACTTCGTTTTAATAATAATTACCTTTTCAGCTGACTGCAGCAGCCAGGCATATTAGTATTGAAAAGCTGGAGGCAGTTGCGTTTCTACACAGTTTGACTTGGAACAATTTTTCTAGCATGTCAGTGCTCCGAGATATCCTGCGGAAAAGTTTAATTCTGGCTGGCATGATTCATTACACATGCAAGACAGTAAGCACTGGCGCGAAGCTCTCCCCGATGGGTGGCGGCAGTTGCTTTCGTCGTTTAACCTGACAACAGGTCCAAGGCATAGGCAAAAATGATAACGGTTGCCTTTTCACTACCGGCTGGCTATAGCAAGTAGCGGATGTTTATCATATCGGGGAAGAACATTGCGCCGATCTTCACCACCCTCCATGCGCAGTCATGCAAAGCACAATTAAATTTTGCCTTGGGATGACTTGAAGCACAGTCATGTTAGAAGAATGATTTCACGTGTAGCTGTGAAGAAATACGACTGCCCCCAACTTCTCAGTACAAGTGTACCCGCTTGCTGCAGTAATTGAGTATCTAATTATGAAATCTTAGTTAATTGGGACACTGACAGTTACTAGTATTGTCTCATTTTGAGCCCCCTGAAGGCATGAGCTATTTGCTGCTGAAGTGGCCTTCATGTTCTTCCTGGTGCGAAAATTTCATAAAACCCTAAATCTTGACTTTGAACAAACATCATCGGGCCATTTCAAAACCTAAGTTGCTGGTTCATGCGCAAATGAATCATTTAAAGCGTCCAAAAGTTTTTGACCTCTTTATAAACAACATTAGGCATCGGTAGCAGGCGGAATTTTTCGGCGCTTCAGCGTGGCAAATGGTTCTTTACTATCCTTAGCGAAATACCGCAAGCGGCTTAAGAGGGCGCTTTGAAAAACACCGACTGCACTCGTCTTCCGCCAGAGTGGTTCTGCGCACCTGCAGCTTAGAGTTGCTGTATATGCTACCTTTAGGTAGCAGAGTTGCACCACTGTTTTCCGGTCGCCGCTCGCTCCGCCTACTGGAGTTCAGCGCCCCTATTCGCTGAGCGCCATCACGTGGTCATAGGTGCTTCAATTGCACTGCGGAGAAGCCAACGCTACGATGATTTCGGGCAGATCAAGCGTGGTTGAAATAGGCTGTTCTTTCACATCAGCTGTCGTGAGCCGCGATTGTAATACGAGCGCAATAGAGGGCCATGCGTAATATGGGCGTCTCACGGGCACTCTCGATCGCTGTTCGGCTCGATTCAGTTAAAGGCGATACAACTACACCTGGCTTCCTCACCAATTTAATGAATCAGTCCAACATCATGAAAAAATTTCATCCCTAACTGGTTCCATTGCATTCAAAAGTGAGAAAACAGCTTCATATTTGTAAATGGGAAAAACAGAGGAAAAGGCGAAGCTAGTGTAACCGACCGTAAATGTGTATCTCACTGCTTCAACGAGCAACGCACTTTGTTTTATAATTTCATACCAAGAACGTAAGCATCAAATCAAGGCTTCTAGATTCGACCGGAGAAACCGAGTTTCACTCATACATTAAAAAATTTAAAGAAAGCGAAAAAATAAATAAAACAATGCTAGTACGATAATCCCTCAATATTGAGAGACTATGTAGCACTCTGAAGCGCGAGCGTTGCTCCTACGCGGGTAGGTGAGTGGCTTTCCCGCAAGACTTTGAACCCAAGATGGCGTACCTTGGCGAACTCTGCTACCTAAAGGTAGCATATATAGTAACTCTACTGCAGCTCAGTACGTTGAGCTACAGGGTGTGGTTGTCGAGTTGATGATGAATTCGCCCTCACGCTGTCAGTTGCTAGCTTTCTGGTTAGCTCAATTGGCTCAGCAACTGCCTCGGAAAGGCGTTAGTCTCGGGTTCAACCCATGGACCGAAGACGAAATTTTCAGGCAACTAGCAGCCTTTTTGTTCTGACAAATCTGTACAGATTTCCTTGTGGCCTATTGCTACAAACGGGTGGTTGTACTCTTTTCCTTTTTTAGGGCGTGGCTGCCTGCGCTCATGTTTTTCTTTCAAGACAAGTTTTAGTCAGATGACGGAAAGCTTTGTACACGTGTTGTACTTTAATAGCCATATTAGCGAAAAATGAGCTCAAATCGGGAGACATTTCGATTATCACTAAGACATTTAAGGCTCCACTTTCCCAGTTAAACTCTGATTTTTTTTTCCTTTTCTTTTGTTCTTTCAACTCCAGAACCCCGGCAAGGAGTACTGGCAATGCTGGAGTGTCAATGTGGTACTCGAAGTGAATGACACGCTGGTGGAGTTCAACTTGACTGAGTCGAGTGCGAAGTCCACTGACATGTACAGGATACCAACCACTCCCTACACAGCGGTGACAATCCGACTGCGTCTGAGAACGCCGGACAATAGAAACAGTTCGTGGACCAAACTACAGCGTGTCACCTCAGCCGAGGACGGTAAATACTGCTGCTGGAAACGTTTAGCACTAAATAGAGCCAGAGCTAATTTCTCTCATAGCGCGATTTTATGATAAATGTGATCAATCTATCACATGAAGCAGTGCCGCATCAACTATTAGTCATCATCATCATCATCAGTCGTCGTCGTCGTCATACACTGCATTCACTGCAGCACAAAGGCTTCTCCCGTGTTCCGCCAAAAAACTTGGTCCTGTGCTTGCTGTTGCCCCTTAATACTCGCAAACTTCTTCACTCTATCTGCCCATCTATCTTTGTCTCCCTCTAACTCGCTTGCCTTCTCTGAGAATCCAGCTAGTTACCTTTATGACTAGTGGTTATCCTGCCTACGCGCTACATGTCCGGCTCATGTCCATTTACTCGTCTTGATTTCAACTATGATATCCTTAACGCCGGTTCGTTCCTTGATCCACTCTGCTCTCTTTTTGTCTCTTAAGATTACGACTATCATTTTCCTTTCCACCGCTCGCTGCGTCGTCCTAAATTTAAGCTGAATCCTATTTGTGTGTCTCCATGTTTGTGCTCCATAGCTAAGTACCGGGAAGATGCAGTTGTTATATAACATCCTCTTGACGGATTGTGGCTTCCTCTTGAAGGTTAGTGGCAATCTACCAGTCATGATTTGAGAATGCTTGCCTGATGTTCTACACCCCAGTCCTATTCTTCTAGTTACTTTAATCTCGTGGTTCAGCTACGTGGTTGTTACCTGTCCTAAGCAGACGTAGTCTTTTACAACTTACAGAGCACTATTACCTATCTCGAAGCACTGTTCTCTTCTGAGGTTGCTGAAAATTACTTTCGTTTTCCGCAGATTATTTTAAGACCTACCTTTCTGTTCTCCTTTTCTAACTCCTTCGTCATGAACGACAATTCGTCTCCTGGGTGACTCAGAAATCCTATGTCATCGGCAAAGCGCAGGTAACTAAGGTATACCTCCATTAACTCTTTCCCTAACTCTTCCCACTCTAGGCCTCTGAAAACCTCATGGAAGCCCGCGGTAAATAGCATTGACGAGATGGTATCTCCCTGTCTTATACTCTTCTTTATTGGTATTTTGTTGCTTTATTTATGGAGGTCTATGGTGGCAGTTGATCCCCTGTTGATTCCCTGTAGGCAGTTGATCCCTTATCGGAGTTCGGTGCCAGGCAGTTCCCAACCAGATTCTAAGAATTCCGCGTGGTTATGTAACTGCATTAAGAGGCCTGGCGTGTGGCCTCACCGGTGATGACCACCGGTAACGCACTCCCTCACCAGACAAGGATTGACCACCCTGGTGCAGTATCTCGCCACTACCTCCCACTGCATATGTCAATTAACTCACGGCCCTCAGTCCCCAGCGGCTGCGAAGCAACTGATCGAGACGGCGGTCAGATCTGCAACGCAACAGAGTGTGCTAAGAATCTCTGGGTTTGGACACGCCGCCATCGGAACCTGAACTTGGCAACATTTGACCGCTAGAATCCCCATCTAGTGAGGCAAGTCTAGTTGTACTATACGAGGAGCTATAGAGGGTGCTAAATCGGATGTAATAGGGCTGAGTGAGGTTAGAAGGACAGATGAGGCTATACAGTGCTACAGAATGGGCACGTCCTTTGCTATCGTGGGCTGGCTGACAGACGAGAACTGGGCGTGGGGTTCCTTATCCATAGAAATATATGTGGCAACATGGAGGAATACTATAGCATTGATGAATGGGCGGTTGGTATTGTAACTAAACTCAATCAAGATACAATATAAAGGTGGTACATGCTTACGCGCCTACGTCCAGTGATGATGACGCGTCAGTTGAAAGCTTCTATGAAGACGTGGAATTCGTAATGAATAAGGCAAAAACACATTATGCTATACTGATTGGTGACTTCAATGCAAGCTGGAGGCCTGGCAGTAGGAGATTATGACATCGGAAAACGAAATGCCAGAGGAGAGCTATTAGTGGAATTTGCAAAACGTAAGTATTTACAGATTGTGACTACCTTCTACCGAAAATGAGGGACCCGTACGTTGACATGGAGGAGCCCTAATGGCGAAAATAAAAACTAAATATATTTTATAAGCCTCGTACAGGATGTGAAAGTCCTTGGCAAGGCACGATGCAGTGGTCATAGAACGGTGTGGTCTCAAACTCTGCAATACACTAAGAAGGAATTGCAATGCTTGAAGAAGGACAAAATACAATATGCAGAGTTTACGAAGTTGATTAATAAGCGTAAGGTATCTGATGTAATAAAGTATAACGTGGAGAAAAATGAACACGCTCGGAATAACGGAGGAAGCGTCAAAACAGTGAACAGGAAACTTGGGATAGGCAGAAACCACATGTATGCGCTAAGGAGCAAGGAAAGCAAAATAAATACTGATATGGATGGGATAGTTAAAATAGCGGATGAGTTTTACAGTTTTACAGAGATGTGTACATTATCCGGCAGAACCACGACCTTAATATAGGAACTAGCAGCATCCCAGATGGCATCCCACCAGTAATATTAGAAGAAGTAAAAAAAAAGCCTTGGAGGGAATGGAATGCAAAGAGGTAAAGCTGCTGGTGAGGACCACGCAACATCAGATCGGCTGAAAGACGGAGGACAGATTGTGCTAAGAAACCTAGCCGCCCTGTTTACGAAGTGTCTCCTGAAAGGAACAGTACCAGAATATGGGAAGAATGCTAACAATATCTTAATACATGAGAAACGAGATCACAAGGACTCGAAGAATTACATGCCGGTCAGCTTGCTCTCTGTCGTATACAAGCTATCTACAAAGGTAATCGCGAACAGTATTAAGACAACATTAGAACTCGATCAACTAAAGGGACAAGCACGATTTCGAACAAGCTACTCAGCAATTGACCACGTTAAGACTATCAATCAGGTAATTGAGTACTGTCCAGAACACAGCCAACCACTATACATAGCATTCGTAGATTACAAGAAGGCTTTTCATTATTTATAATTATCAGCATTCATGCAGACACTGCGAAATCAGGGCGTTGACGAAGCATATATAAACATCCTGGAAGAAATCAACAAACGTTATTCTAATCCAGTTTTTATTCAAAACAAGACAGTGGCCTCATTTGCAAGCGTCTTAATAAATTAGGTTTATTTACGTTTTAATAACATATCTTGACCTGCTTGTTTGAATTCTTATCAACTTCCCTCTTCAAACTATCTGTCCACGATTCCTATCAGTCCAGTATATTTCCGTACAACTAGGATAATTATGTACGCATTCCTTATGAATATTATTAGATCTTCATAAGAACGACAGGAAAACTTCAAGAATTTTCAGACGAATCTTCATGCGAGCTTTCGTTCACTAGTGTTGCTAAATTCACTCTAGGCTAATCTTCACTATTCATCATTCGCCAGCCACAGGTTGCAATGCTATCAGCCTTATCATGAATGTATCGAATGGAGAATATCTTGTAGCTCACTCTGATTAGCCAGGAAATTGACTTTCCAGAGAAGATCCTCATCCACATTTTTTTTCTTTACTGAAGGAGGTATACTTGTCAACCTATGTCAAAAACCTCGACATTGAGGCTCAAGCGCTATTTTCAAGCGTCGCGAAAAAAAAATCATGAGCGCCTCCTCATAGTGGATTTACTTCACTATAAGTTGCACCTGATTTTTAGTGAAGGTAAGAGAGACCCCTTATATAATAATTCGTGTTTATAAGATGAAATGGATCAGCTCAACGCCTAATATGACCAGTTGAACCACATATTGTAAACACTTTTTGCATCATAAGGAAGAGGCAAGCAGTTTATGCATGCAAAATGAGAAGATTACTAGGCACATAAATGTAGGCACCTTGCACTCAAGTGAAAGCTGTAGAAAGTACAGAGCTGTAGCAAGCTGCAGAAAGTTCTCTTCAGCGATGCTCGCGTTCGCGGTCAAGCACGCGCTCCCTTTACGAGCACCTAGCCTGCTCGGCTTCCATGACGAGAGAGAAAACTTCACCTAATTGTTATGCAGTGGTGCCCTCTCCACTTACTGCTCACCCTCACTCTTTTGCTATAGGACAGATATGCTACGCCATGATCTCCCCTCTTTCTGCCCCTACTCAGCACTGGCATTCTTTTCCTCACACGCCCTTGATATGATGTACTGTACACGGCTATGCCATGCTTCACACTTGGTCATCTCATTTGCATCCTCAGCGACACATATCTCTTGCATGCCCCACTTTGATTTCATACGCTCTTGCCATATTACACTGTACAAAACCCTGCATTGCTCCACCCTCTCCCACATAGTGCCATGTGAGAGAGGAGTGGGAAATTCCCCCTTCCTTCCTCCTTGATATCCACCTCAACCGCACACCTTTCATCCTTACCCTAACTTCTCTTTGCCACTTCTTGCTATACGATACTTTAAATGACTCTAGTAGGCATAGCGTGCTGCACATGCTTTTCCTTATGGGACGCCGTACGTGACTATTTTATGCTTTACCATTTCCTATCATCTTTTCTCTCCTGCCATGGCGTAACTCAGCTATTATACACCATTTTACAAAACAGAGACAGCGCCTGTTTAATTTACAGCATAATCCTTAAGAATCGGAGATAGGCGTTCCAGCCAAAGGCAGTCGAATTTCCGAACCATTTCTTTCGTGACTGCTTTCTCATTAACACTACGCTTTAAATAATCGTAGTCTGCACCAGAGAAATCTGAAGGTTCGACTTACATGAATGTCTGACTTACGAAGGTACTGTTTTTCTCGATTGTTTCCCAGTTTCTCACGCCATCAGCTACAACCCTGAAACTTCAAAAAAGTTTATTGTTGCGCGAGTTGGTGCTTTGACATAGAAACAATCGTGACAGTGCAACAAAATACGACACACAGAAAAAGAGCGAAGATAAAACACAGGCAAGAAAAAAGTGTGACATGCAATTCCTGCTGCCCCACCAATAGATTCAAGAGATCTTCTAAGCATTGGCCGATTAGACGTAAATGGGGTCGCATAGGACGCAATATTCAAACTTACACAGCAGTCGACACAGAAGTGCTTTTGTCTTCTGGTGGTTTCCGTCACGGAGGGTGACGTTTCTGTCTCTTTTCCATGCAGCTCCTGGAGTGGTGGCCTATTTAAAACTTCTTCAGAATGGCTCTCGGAATGCTACTGTCTCCTGGGGACCACCGGAACAAAAAAATGGCGTTATCCGGAGCTATCAAGTGGTCTACAGACCTTTGGCGCGGCGTGTACAACGATGTACAGCACTAAACGACCCAGCCACAACGGTGATGGTGTCACCGATACGTCGCAGCGTCACCCTGACACCCTTGCATCCGTACACCAAGTACCATTTCTCCGTAGCAGCTCTCACCATCAAGTACGGCCCTGAGATGAATGCCACTTTTGACACGGACCAAGCGAGTAAGTCCGTCCTGGTGTTAGAGGCCTGACGCGCCATTCGATAATGGTATCACACATGGTTTCATTTTACCTTGTAAATAAGAGTACATATTTTGGAGATTTACAGCTTTCGATGCTATGCAGGTTTCTGCTACCGTTTTGTGCACTGGGCTTTGAGTTGTGCCCCTACTGTCTTGGGATTTACAACATTTTGTATGTTTGCTTATGTACCCCATCTCGTAACTATACAGGCCGCCACTGCGAATATTTTACTATCTCTTGAGGAAGGCCAGAAGCTATGGTAGCATGCAGCCAGTTATACAGTTACGCCAAATATCTGATGCTCCTTGTTTTCTTGAGTTTGTTTGAACAATTGTTTTTTATGTAAATGAGCAGTCACTAACAGATTATGAAGAATTCGTTAGATATTACTTTCAAGTTCAAAATGTACGACACGTGATACAGTGACAACTGTCACCTTAGTATTCGATGTACAACTATTGGTTCGTGAATCGATAAGCCTCTCATCAAAACTTTATTTCCAGTGAGCGAAAGCCGCATTCTGTGACAATGTCTTGTGTTTTCATCCGTTACAACTACGGCCATTGATTTCACTCTCTGCCGTGAAAAAGTACTGAGAAAGCACGTACCTGTTGCTATGACTGCAGTCCCGGAAGGAGCACCAACTAAGCTGAACTACACAAATACTTCACGGAACACCAACGTGCTAACATGGGCCGAGGTACCCTGCGAACAACGCAATGGTCCCATCACCTCGTACTATGTGGTAACGGACAGTGAAGACCCTTGGGAGACCGAGCTGCTAGAAAAGACGGTTAGTTGGACATCGATAACCTACCAGAACCTCCTGCCTTACACTCAATACCGAGCCAAGGTGTACGCCGAGAACGGGGCTGGTCGATCGCCATTGTTCGCCTCCATCAACTTTAAAACGCCACCTGCTCGTAAGTTATTTTTTCCCTTATATAGCAATTACGTTACTGCTGCCTCTTCGGTGGTCTACCAAACTCATATAATAGGGAAAGCTTGATGCGTTTTCATAATGCCTTACGCAAATGTGTACTTTATCTCATAAATTGCAAAGTAGAGTAGTAGTACTAAACATTTATTTAAAGAAACAGTTTGCCAGGGAAACCAGTGCCTAGTGGGTCACCTTCCCTACAGTAATAGCTGGCGTCCCTAGCCAGGGACCCCAATGGCCGTCCCCTTTGTCCTGGCGGGAAATGGCATTAGGCATTGCACTTCCGACGCAGTTCAGCCTCCATCAACATTGTGAAGAATGTACTATCACACACGGTATGAACAACATCGCGGAAGCGCGTGGCCAAATGATGGAAAAATTTTATCGATTGTGTGGGAGTGGAAAGGCCCGAGATCAGGTCTTCCCTGAGGGGACGTCAAGGCCTTGAATCTTCACCGCTTCACGAGCCTGCTGTACTGGCGGTGGGGCCAAGCGCGTTGCAAGTTATACAATGTCGTCGATCGTGATATGTTTTCGAGTTATTAGGAAAGGGTCTAGCGGCTCTCTGCGTGTGCGCGTCGCCTCGACTTGCGTTCACTCTCGCCCACGTTCTACTCCGTGATGACATCCGCATCACAAACGATAAATTCAAAGCTGTATACAAGCAAGAGTGGTGAATTGGCACTCGCTGGGTCAGCCAAAATATATCAAGATAACTATGAAAATATGACATGATCGGTGTTAGTGTGAAAGCTTTCAGTGCGCTTGGCCACTCGCTTGTGTGGTGTAAGCCATGCTGAGCGTGATAGCAAGTACACTTTTGCACAAGTTTTCAACAGTATTGCGTGGGTTCCCAGTGTGGGATATTGTAGCGTTCAATGTTCTCTAAAGGTGAGGAGATGTGGCGACGATGCACAGGCACACAAAGGCGCCGTGGACAGCGAGAGCCGTCCGCTACGCTGTGAACTCCAACGTATACTAGCGGGTAGCTCGTAGGCGTTAGTTCCTGCGCTTAGCGGTATTGTCGTTGTCGTCGATACGATTGATGTGAAAAAATTAAAATGAGAAAACTAACCCAAGATTGAATGGAATTTGAACATGCGATTCTCCAGATGAGAATGCGAGTCGGATCTGAGCCTGCGAATGGCATTTCAACTTTCATGGTCGCAGTCAGGTATGTTACCAAAGAGTGACGCTGATGCTTTGAACTTACTGGCAAAATAACCCTGTGCAAGCGTCATATCGGGCTGAAAATGACGTTAATGCCTGTGTTGTATATTATGTTTGGTGGGGTTTAACGTCTCAAGACCACCTAATAATTGTGAGAGATGCCATACTGGAGGCCTCCGGAAATTACGACCACCCGGGAGTTTTTAACGTGCACCTAACTCTAATCACACGGGCCTCAAGCATTTTCGCAATTCATGCAATGTAGCGTGGCAGAAGGTTAAATACCACCCAGCCATCCACAATGCTAATCGCTCGATGATTGTGTGGTTTATTGTTTTTCACCCACTGCAAAGTTCTCAGGAGTAATTCTTCCTCGCCATCATCTGCATGCAGAAAATAAATATTGCATTTAATACCTTACATATGTGCAGTGCGTACACCTCGTTTATGCCCAGAAAGATGAATAATGGCTTAGTGGGTGTTCTCATACTGCACGAACATTGGTTCTTGGTGTAAATTGTGGAAAGCCGGAACCTCTAACCCCATTGGCCGGGCCCAAACATGAAGCTGCGTTCAGAATTTGCCCTAGGCAGTATCATAATTACCGGGGAACTTGTTTTTGCAATTTTCAAGTAAGGAGAACCATACAACGTACTAACTCGAAGAAATCGTCAAGAACGTACGCATGCGTGCTATTCGCTGCCATGTGCCAGTCTCCATGGCCATTATAGGCAGATTTATCATCTACAGTGTTCTCAGCTTTTTCCTTTTATATCTTATTAGTACCTTTGACAAAGAATCGCTTATAACCATCGGCAACCTCAAGGTGTCGATCGTTATACACAGACACCCGTAGGATATCAATGAATTCGATATTGTTTGCCTTAGTTGTTGAAGCTATTCAGTTACGTTTGTTTTTACGCAGAAACTGGACGCAATGACGCATGTTTTCAATCCAGAAAATATAGCATTTCGTCATTATATTGTACTCTGATGAATCAGACAACAAATAAATATTCAAGAAATCATTTGTTTCGTGACAAATGCTACTTTGCTATGCAGTTTACTTGAGAAAAAAAACATGTATACAGTGCTTCCCCCAGCGGAAAGCACTCTAAACAGCAAAATAAAGGGGTAAGTTAGATACGCAATAGCTTCTTGAAGTACGAATTGGCATGTCTAATTCTTCAAGACTAACTGAAGGAATGCGAATTTCAGATTTGCAATGATTAATCAGCATCATAAGCGCCTAACTGCAGCTGTTCAAAAACCATAGCTACGTTAAAACGTGATGTCGCAAGAAACGCACCTAATGCGTAGTAAAGACTGGTGCCAGTGTTTTATGTCACGTTGCATCAACGGCAATACCACAGCTTTCCTAAAATAATTACGGCGACACATCAGAGCATTTGTTTATTTGTTTTTTAAGCAGTGTCGAACATTGCGGTACATTTTCGCGAAATAGTGACAGTCGAGCCTTTTGATGGTGCAAGGCGTACTACGACAATGATGCGAGGAACGCGACAAAGAAGGACAGTGCTGTAAATTGTTGATAACTTCATTGCACGTCGCAAAAGCGCCTAAAATGCCACACCGGCATTGCGAGATTTACAGTGACTCTACAATAAGCGAGAAGGGGCGATCAAACTTATATTCTATGGTTAGTTTTAAAGCAAATAAAACATATACCTTCATCGTCAGGCAAGACTCTTGGAGGTCTACACTACGTTGGTTTTCTTTCTTAAATTTGAAGCATTTCTTAGCGATCTTCGGCGGCTTTGACCATACTTGTGTATCTATCTAGCCGTCTATGACTTTTAGCTCTACTGGCCGTTTTGATGATAGTATCTATACCGAAATTGGTATGACATAAGCTGACCGTATGACGACCATAAGTGACTAGTCATACCATGAAAATCTACAGATGTATGTCATGAGAGTCATTATTTACATTTCATGGTCTCGCTGATTTCACGGTGGGTTCGTTCACAAGATATGTTGCAAAACTGGTATGGTATAACATGACTGCATGGCGAACATAAGTGACATACCCAAACGTGGAAACCATGACATGCATGTCATGTAAGTCATGACTACACGCCATGCTGATGGTGCACTCGCTGTGGTTTCGCTAGCTTCACATATACCAAATTTGCCATCACGGGACGTGAATAGTAGACGAAGATATATGACTGGTGCAAACATGATAATCATGAGATATGTGTAACGTAAGAACATGACCACATGCCACGCTCATAATGTGCTCGCGGCCGTTTCGCTATCTTCACATACACAAAATTTTGTATTTCGTGACGCAAACGAATGACGAAGGTAAATGATACGTCCAAACATGATAATCTTGACATGCGTATCATGTAAAGCATGACAACATGCTACGCTCACAATAGGCTAGTGGCCGTTTCGCTAGCTTCACATATACCAAATTTGGCATTACGTGAGGTGAACGAACGACGAACACAAATGCCAGGCGCAAACTTGATATGCAATCATGACAGGGAAGTCATTTACGGAATATTTTACGTCCACCTCGTAATGTTGTGTTGATTTTAAAGTGACATATCAACCTTCCTCATTCGTGCTTCGCATATTGTCGATTCTCACTGCACATTAGATCTTCGATTTTTTAGTAAGAATTTCTGTGGTTCCTCCATTTTATTCATTTTGAAAGAAATACCTCCGCAGGCCAAACGGGTCGGTGTTCTGTTATGGCAGTATGCTGACGCAAGCGTTCTCTAAGAGGCGATGAGTGCTCGTGTATCACAAGCATTGTTTTCGAAGGCAATATGCAGGTGTGCCCTTAACTACTTTGCGTTGCAGTGAACGACCATTTATGAATCACTTCACATTATTGCGGAAGAATGTTACAAGCGTGGTCACCATTTCTTGCTGTTTGTTAAAGCGCTACAAATGATTACGGCAATCCATCGGTGTTGGTGCAACACGAGTGATTCAACAAGGAAATCATCATCACGTGAAGCTGTGATGCGACGTAATCAATACGCTACATGTCACCTAAATTTGAGCTGCCATCAAGTTCTCACACCATCGAAGCTGGCTCAATTACAGAGGCAGTGCAAAGCAAGAGAGGAGGCATAAATTGCAAAGAATCTCGAAGGCAACGCAATACCAATTAGGCGTAGAAAACTTTCGATGGAGTGAAGATAGAGTGTCTTTACATTGGCTGGGAAGAAAACGAAGGTAGTATTGTCTTTCCAGTCGTCTTGCGTAAATGCATAAGGGGCCCTTTGCAAGTTCATATTATGAAAAGGTACAATGACATGAAAACGTTATTAACCACGAATCAGTTAAACGCTGCAGAATGACTGAAACGAGTTTTCGTTCTGCACGTGAGGTCTGGCTCAGTGCGTTGTCTTGTATATATATATTTAAAAGCTGTCATTCTCTGCAGCACTCCATCTTTTTCTCTCTTATTCAGCTCCACATGAACCCTTAGGCCTGGAGTATGATCAGCTTTCTCTAGACAGCATATTGCTCAAGTGGAAGACTCCATATCCGCCAACTGGTGTTCTGGAAAACTACAAGCTCAAACACTATAACGTTAAGAGACGAGACCAGTTGACTGAGGCTGTTATCACCCACAGCGTGTGCTATACGAGAAATCGAGAACCTCGACCATGTTACACCATTGGCGAACTGGAGGTTAACGCAACGTATTATTTCTCGGTAAGTTTTCTTGGCACATGCATTTTACAAGTGATATAAATTATTTGACACGTTTATATACACAAGCACCGGATAAGCTTGTATGCTATAAATTTCTGTTGAAGAATATCTAGCCTCGATTGTGAGTGACACGAAAGCCTTAATCGGAAGGGCAGTTTACGAAGTGTTCGGTCAACACGCTGAGAAAGTACGCCTGAACCCTCAAGAGGGCTCTCGTAATGAGAACAACCGTTTCACGTGATTTGTGTCCACAGGCCGGAAAACTGTTGAGAAATACCGCATTGAACCACTTCGCTGAGATGTAGAGAAACGAAAACATCCTGGAGGCAACCCTATTTCTTTACTAATGTATCTGGTAGTGGCAATTTCACGTATTCGCTCACTTGCTGACCAGCCGTAAACGATGTCACAAAAGTGCAATGTTACTGAAAGCATGATAATTAAATGTGGTCCTTGAATGTCCACTGTTGTTTGTCAACTATGGCTTAAAGATTTGTTTTCAATACGACTACGAAGTTTAAGAGTCTACAGATAATTCAAATATGGAGCATGTTGCTACAGGCGGCGTTAGTCCTAATTATTCTGTAATACTAGCGAACACACACTACAAACTAGATATAATAAATAATGGAAACCGGGAAAATTTCGCAATCCGAAAGTCTTCTTTAATTGTCATATATTACCAAGCAAAGAAAAAAAACGTAAATTTGAAGGCTCGTTTTTTGTTGTTAGATACGACATTTGTTCTCAATATATTATGTTTTCCAAGGCTTACTCAGGTTTGTATTTCGTAGATAAAGCAGAAGAATGACAGGTACTTCATTGCGAAGAAGCAGCTCACCCTTCGGAAACACAATCTGTTCAGTGAACTCGTAGACACAGCCTCTTTCTTATTATTCTCTGGATGACGTTGATCAGCGTAATATTCAATATTAAAAACGAAGGCCTGCTCTCTTGCTACGATATTTACGTGGCACAGTGTTCAGGTCTCAGGTGTACAGGCGGGTGAGCTGGTAAAGGTAAATCCTAAAGTAAAGGTATGCGTGGTAGCGCTTACCACAACATTGGCATGCCTGTGGGCACAAAGTTCAACCTAAGGAAACTTATGTTTTGTTTTCACAGAGGGAACAAAAAAATGGGATATTGTTAACGCGATAGCATTAACGAGTGTATTTCACGGAAACTCTGGCGTCAGCGTCGTTGGTTGTGAGTGAAAAATCATCATCGTGTGCGTGACAAACAAATCGAGGAAGATGCAAATAGAATAAATCAAAAATTCCAAGTCACAACGAGGTTCCAATCCGGTTCGCTTGAGTGACAAGTGGCCGTTCTACCACAGAGCTACGTGCCTGCTTGAAAAGACAGCGAAAATAACTTGCTCTGGTAGAACTTTTTGTTGCGCTAGTTTGTGCATGTTTAGGGAAGGAGTAAGGCGCAAACGAGGCGGACACAAAAAGAGAAATGGAAGAACGTCTGTCAATGTCGTCCATGTCTCTTATTTTGTCCGTCTCGTTTGCATGTTGTTTCTTTCGTATAGCTTCCTTGCTTGTAAATGCAGTAAAAGTAACTCGCATCCTTTACAAATACGCGTTTATTCTATACATGCTTTACAATGCAATATAAAATATCGCAGTAAAATGCGTGGTACAAGCATACGTATTGATCGGGCGTCATAACATGTGATTACTATGTGATTACTAAATTTCACACACGAAATTTCTCGTGGTTTAAAGCATGCTACCCAATACTCAGAATGCAGCTGAATGCGAACGCTTCGCGGACGCAAGCAATTTCGAACGCTGTAAGTACTATAGGATTGGGGATCGCTATTCTGTTAAACTCATAAATGCGAAGCTTAAGGATCGCCCGATTTTTCAAGCTGAGCATATTGCCAAAGCGGGTGATCGGTGCCTTGACAACCGATGGGTTGCGGTTTGAAACATAGAGGTTCAATAACGCAACTTAACACATATGTGGCCTACTTGTTATCGTTACAATTTTTTATGCGGCTGGGTACCACTTTTGAGCTGCAAAAAACTTCTTTGTGTATTAGTATCTCTTAATCATTTAGTGGTTCTCATAATCATATAGTGGTTTTGGGACGTTAAACCCCACATATCAATCATCAGTATCTCTTCTGGTGTTTTTTTTCTTACAGTTGGTTTCTATCAGCGTATGATTCTGTCCTCATTTCTCTCTGCTCATCATTTTTTGTGCATTTTTTAAATTACAGAAGGCAACAATTTCTGTGGTCAGTGTACAATTCCATTGATGTGTGCAAGTGAAATTGAAGGCTTGCTAGACGCAAATTAACAGCTGCGGTGCTCGTTTATCTCATTTTCTATGATTTAGTCCCATAATGAGGAGCATATTACATTTTCACACATTTAGCATGATTGTTATTGTGCTTTCTTTATTTAGGTGAGTGCTAAGAATATTGATACGGACTATTCACCATACTCTGTCGAACTAGAAGTGGAAACCAGAGAAATGGGTGAGGCTTAATAAATATATTATTTTTCTTATTGATATATAAAAACGTGGTTTTGGGGTGTAAAACCCTGAAAATTGTTGTTACGGCCTTCACTTCATTGCGAAACAGCGCAAATAGGTGAAGACACGAGATGGACTACACAGTCCAGACGGCGAGTCCTCGCGTCTTCGTCTCATGTATTCGTCTTTTTGTGCTCTTTTACAATGAAGTTAAACCACTAGCCCAGATTTGTACGCTCTTGCTAGTACGCATTTTTTTCTTGGCTTATGTCTAAGTGTAACAGCCACGTCAGAGATTAAAAGAAGTATCTACGCGATTAGGAGCATGTCACATTACCCCATGAGCTTCCACGGTGGGTTTGGCACTTAGCCATTGGGCTGATGTCACCCATGAAACGAAGAGATACCTATAACGTAACGTTAACGGCGGAGTGTAACTTGGGAGCCGATGAAATTGATGTCGCATCAAACTTAGTGCACGCATTTTACTATTCGTCTTGTTGTTTCGTAAGGACTATAACACCGGCTTCATTGCTTCGCAGTGCCAGAGGCTCCCGCTAGTATTAGGTCGACGGAGCAGACTGAGGACAGCATGAAGATACAATGGGACCCGCCTGCCAGCAAGAACGGCGTGCTGAGAGGTTATAAGGTGATACTAACGGAACGACTTCTCTCTACACGGAATCGTTGTCACTGATGTAATCCCATGATTCAGCTCAAGTGTATACGGAGGTTTTGACAGATGAGTCATCATAGTTAATTTTAGCATCAAGATAACGGAACCTAAGACGCGGTTCTAGCACCACAGCGTCTTATTATGCTCGTTTGAGATGGGTGGAGCATTTCGCGTTTTCTTCATCAAACTATGGCTGGTCTAACACGTGGGGGTATGTTATCGCATGCGCCATCCAGTAAACGAACATGAGCCGGCTCGTTTGATCTCTACTTCAGCAGCGCTTGTCGGCCCCGCTTGCTCACCTGAGGATGTGCTGAGAACGTTATCAATTTTGACATTTTTAGGGAAAATGGTGGAAACTAGCGGGGAAGACTGCGTTGGGAGTGCTATTGATAAAGAGAGTCACAGCTTTGACGCAAAGGCGAAGCAATGAACGCGATAGCAACAATTTGAAAGGTCACGCGCAGAATGGAAAGCAGATCGATACATGCCCCGCGTTTCTCGCGCAAAAATTACGCACGAAACATACTCACAGATAAGAATTCACGCGAATAGGTGTCTCATTTATTACTTTGCTGAGTCTGAAAAGCGCGCGCTTTTCGCGAATGAAGACTGCAATGATTGCAGTTACCTTTGTGCGCCCGGTATACAGTAGAAACGCTCCACGTAAAACCAGAGGCCAATCAAGGCGTGCGATCCTGCCCCCCTCTTTGCCACCGCGAGATAAGGGTTCCGCGAGGTAGCATAGCTCCCGTTCTCTGAACGAACAAAGTACGCGTAAGAGATTAGAGCGGGCGGCGCTGCGCGATGTCGCGACGTGCGCTCATTGCGCCATCTTTTGGTAATGCTGAAAACACAGCAGCGGTAAGTGGTAGATATAAGTTGCTTGTCTTTTGAATTGTGAAGAACGTTCTCTGGGATGGCTCAGTAGTTAACGCGTCTCGCTTTGACGACGCAGAGGTCCCACGTTCGATTTCGCACGCCGTAGTGTTTTTTTTCTATATTTTTCTGTATAGCGTTTTCATTTATATAGATGCGTAATCATATACGGTGCATGACATCGGCGACAACGCCGGCGGCAAAATCCAGCCGAGAGTGTCCTTATATTTGCTATTACAATAATAGCCCGGATCGGAGAAACCTGGAGAAATCCAAACTTCATCGAAGAAGAAAAAACAATAGTGCCATTGAGGGCGCGGGGTCATGGTAGAGGGTAGTTAGCATTCAACCTCGGCAATACGCAGAAGTTTTTCTGTTAGATACGGGTAAACAATCATTTCAGCCCAAGTGCTTAGATCATTACTATCTCAACTAGACGAAAAAAAAAGAAAGAGTGCACAAGCTCATTGCACGTGCGCGACGTAACTTCTTCACCCTAAGCTTTCCAACCCTGTTTAGCGTCGACCAAGCTCGTAGGGCCGAGAGGAGAGAGAAATCCATTACAGCACGTGACAAATCTATGTAACACCGCTTGTAACCAGACACATTCTAAAAATACTTTCGGCAGTTGATTCGTGAGCCAATGCCATTGTCACAAAGCCATTTTATGGTTACTTAGGAAAGTGTTGAATGTCCCTTTTTACTGACTGACTGACTTTTACTGACTGAGTCACCACTCGCTTGCATGGGGTTGCACCCGGATTTGGGAATCCCCAACGAGCCTTCACCACTCCAGGTACGACGCAGGCTTGGGGTAACAGCCAGGCCTTTCTCTCACAATGGTCTGCGGCGGCGGACTTACCATGTTGATTTCTAGAATCCTCTTTGTTTTACGCGTTAGCTTGGCTGTATCGAGACGTCTTCCTTCTGTGGATGGCGGATGAGGGTAGTGTTTCGAGGAGCGTCCATGAATGATGGAGCACGCCCGATTGGTACCTTTCTTGATGCGCTTTTGAGGGTGATTCAAGCGCTTGTTAGTGAGACCTTTGAGCCCCTTCTTCCTGTATCCAGTACAGGGTAGCTAACTAGAAGTATTTCCTGGTTAACATTCCTGTCTTTCCCCCAAATTTGTCTCTCTCTTCCGACGCCTCACGAATTGAATGATACGGGGGAGGAACATGATAGTTAAAAATTATTTATGTGAAGTTAAGGAATGCAACCTAAGAAGACAGCAATGGCTGCTATCTTCTGGTATTCGAATAGTCTTCAACGTACTTGAGAAACCTAAAGCAGATGTCAATGTCCAATTGTTCTAAGCAGTACGTCTCTCATTGCTTTTTTTTGTGCAGCTTAACGCTTCCTTAACCCACACCTTCAATGCAATACTGGAAAAGTCTTGGTTCCCCAAGTCGGTGTTGCTAAATAGTTCGGACCCACAGGAATTTTACCTACGTGGCCTGTTTCCGGGGTCAACCTACTTGGTCTGTGTCCAAGCGAAAACCAGCGCTGGATTTGGGAATGCCACTTGTGACAACTTCAGCACCAAGGCTTCGAGTGAGTACACGCAAGCACGACTTCCTCAGGATTTCCCCTGTCAAAGTACTCTTGCAGCTCATCTGCACCAGAAGTAGACAAAATAAGTAAGTTTTCACTTACGGAATCGTATTAGCACATCACACTTTTTTTTCGGTGAACCTACAGACACGACGGCTAGTGTGCTCTGCAGAGGTTCTGAAGTTTAATTATACTTTGTGGCACATTGTAATCATGACAGGCATACTAAATATGTAAGGCTGAAACAGGGAAGCTTCCACAGCAGTTGTGGTTTAAATTTAGTATTTTCTGGGTTAGAAGTATCTCCACTTGCTTACTTTTTCTCCTGATGCCTCCTTTAGACCGCTAACACGGTGTACCTTGTAGTATGAACGTATATCCTCAGTGTACTTCTACTAGTGTTGAATAGTACTCAGTGAGCCACCAGGCAGGGTTCCGTCTTTGTCTTGCATAAGCTTGAGTGCCGCTGCACACGTGCGTTCGGGCAAAGAGGACACCGAGTGCCTTCGTTGTTTATTTTTATTGCAGGATTGTTTACTGTATTACCTTTTGTTTCACAACAGGCATACAAATTGAGTCTACCGATTTGGCACCAACATCTATAAAGATAACAGTGCAATAGCTGCACATATGGCACTTCAGATCTTCACACGTCCAACTACGTGTACAGCGAGTGTAACTCACGAAGACATGCTCCTTGAGTAACAATATTACATTTATCGAGAGCATACGGGCAAAGAGCGACATATTTAGTTTTTGATGAAAATTATATCTGATAGGAAGGATATCATATTAGCAAAATAAGATTTTAAGAGCCATGTCCATAATAATCAAGTTTTATGTCGTAATCAGTGCTGAACTAACTACGCCTGGCGTCGCTCATGAACTGAGCTAGCCTGTAACGCCTGTACCCATAGCTTTCTAAATATTTGTCTATGACTTCGTTCTTCAATTTATTCTGCCTCTAAAGTACATTCGTTGCAAATATGATTATTCCAGCATATTCAACTGAACGGTGAATCTGCAAGTATGCACGAACGCTAGGCAGAATATTCGGTTAAATTTGAGAAACTGTGGACTAAGACAATATCAAGACAGCTCTAGGACATCACTGACATGCGCATTGATATTATGTCTTCTTGCAGTTCCGGAAGTTCAGGTTGAGCCCAAGGTTGGAGCAATTGTTAATAATACAGTTAGAGTTGTGCTGCACCCGGTGAACTTCATGAAAGGACCAATCACGTAAGTTTCTGAATAGAAAGATTTTTCCGTTCTAAAACGAATAAGGCAATTTACAAAAAAAGTCCCAGCTATGGATTATCGCGGGGCCTCAACGTATTGTGTAACCTTGCAGTTAAGAGTGCCTAAAGGTACGTTGTTTGCTAGACTATGAATATATACACTGAAACGTCATTATAACGAACTGATATCTTGCAAGAAAATAAGGTTGTTATAGTCAATAATTCGTTTTTTAAGATAATTCCTAACTGTGCACATTTTGAAAGACTATATTCTAGTTACTTCGTTACACCCGATGGATCGTTGTATCTTTGTTCCTTTTATTAAGGTGTGACTGTACTACGTTTAACACATCAGGTGCAACGCTGTCGAAGCTATCCAAGAGTTCGGCCAGCAGAACGTATAACTCCATGCATATCCTAGTCGCTCGCGCGACACCTGCGGTGCACGCAGGCATTTCTTGGGGTTCCGCCTTGGCGCTACTGGCGAACGAAAAAAGCGGGAAGACTGCAAAAGTATCTGGGCACCGAAGAACTCTGTGGTGTCCATCTCTGCACTTACACGGTCTCGAGATAGAGAAAGTCCAGGTGGCCACCATCGCGACGTACCCAGGGCAGAGAGCATGTATGTAACGTCACGTGGAAACTAAGCTATTCAGCCACATAATAAGAACCAGCCCTAGAGGTGGGAGGGATATATATAAAGTAAAAAAAAGTGCGCGCAGAGAGAGAAAAAGGGGGTTAATGCATGTGCATGCAGATGAAAACAAAAAAAATTACTGCATATCCACGGAGTCAATATTGTCACAAAGACACAGGCACGCAGGTACAAAATAGGGCGCTTACTTTCGCAACCCAAGGGCCAGAAACGCGAACACCAGAGCACGCGCACACAGAACTACTTTGTTGTCCTCTTCAGAGGCTGGCTACTATAGTTGCCAGCCTACCTTGCGTCAATTCCCCCCTTTCAAGAGAGACCGTCCCGGTCGATTGACTGAGATGCTAGAGGTGGCCATGAAAGAAAAAAAATGATCACGTCAATGAAAGAAAAAGCCCACGCTGTTGTGGATAATAAGGAAAAAGTTCAAAGTGTTCATAACTCGCGGGCGTGGTACGGTTTCATCCGTACTACATGGACTACTTCTGGACGTGGACGTCTTCGGTTTAAACTGGTGTCGGAGCTTTGGGGAACTACCTCGTAATTCTCGTCACCGAGGCAGCGCACAACTTCGTGAGGGCCAAAGTAGCGCCGCAATAGCTTCTCCGAAATCCCACGATGTCGAACTGGTGTCCACACCCATACATAGTCACCTGGTTGATAGTGGACGCTCCTTCGGCCTTGGTTGTAACGGCGAGCGTCGATATCTTGCTGCGCGCGAATGCGGTTCCGTGCAAGCTGGCGGGCTCCCTCGGCTTTCTCAACGAAGTCGTCAATGCTGTCATTTCCACTGTTGTCCTGGTCTACGGGGAGCATAGCGTCTAACGGTGTTGTGACGCGACGGCCATAAACAAGCTCGAATGGTGTTAGGTCTGTGGTCTCTCGCACAGTGGTGTTATAAGCAAACGTGACGTACGGCAAAATTTCATCCCACGTTTTGTGCTCTACATCAACATACATAGATAGCATGTCGGCCAATGTTTTGTTTAACCTCTCCGTCAAGCCGTTCGTTTGGAGATGATAAGCTGTTGTTTTCCGGTGGTTGGTGTGCGTCAGCTTGGTGACTTGTTGCAATAACTCTGCCGTAAATGCTGCTCCGCGATCGGTTATGAGAAGAGCAGTTGCACCATGGCGCAAAACAATGTCGCGGAGAAAGAATCTGGCGACTTCAACTGCAGTTTCCTTAGGCACAGCTTTGGTTTCTGCATAGCCAGTCAGATAGTCGGTCGTGACAATTATCCACTTATTTTCTGAGGATGACGTAGGGAAGAGAGCAAGAAGATCCATTCCTATTTGCTGAAATGGTGCTCGAGGTAGATCTAAAGGTTGGAGGAAACCGGCGGCCTTTGCGGGTGGAACTTTACGCCTCTGACAGTCACGGCGGCTGCGGACATGGCGCTGAATGGACGAATACAGCTGTGGCCAGTAGCACTTCTGTCGGATGAGCGCTAATGTCCTAGCAAAGCCTAAGTGACCAGCCGAAGGATCGTCGTGGCACGCCTGCAAAACTTCCTCACGCAGTGCCGTTGGAACGGCGAGGAGGAAAGTTTCCTGGCTGCTCTCAAGATTTCTCTTGTACAGAACATTGTTCCGCAGGCAATACGTAGTCAAACCACGTGAGAGTCGGCGTGGGACGATAACGTCTTCTCCTTGAAGATGCTGGATGACAGGAAGTAGCTCAGTGTCCTCACGTTGAAGCTCAGCCATCCGCACCACATCGACGATGCCAAGAAACGGTAAATCTTGTTCAGTGTCAGATGCCGCCCGGGAAATAGGAGCACGAGACAGGCAGTCAGCATCTGTATGCTTATGTCCTGATCGGTAGACCACCGTTATGTTGTGCTCTTGAAGGCGGAGGCTCCAGCGGGCGAGGCGGCCTGATGGATCCCGTAGATTGGCAAGCCAACAGAGCGAATGGTGGTCACTGACTGCTCGAAATGGCCGGCCGTATAGGTAGGGTCGAAACTTGCTAATGGCCCAAACGACTGCTAGGCACTTTTTTTCAGTGGTAGAGTAATTAGCCTCTGCTTTTGTGAGACTGCGGCTCGCGTAAGCGATCACACGCTCTGCGCCGTTCTGCCATTGAACTAGAATGGCTCCGATTCCCACGTTGCTGGCGTCTGTGTGGATCTCGGTGTCGGCAGTGGCGTCGAAATGTGCCAGCACTGGAGCTGTGTGCAGTCGATTGCGCAGCTCTACGAAGGCTTGTTGTTGTTCTTCCGTCCATACGAAAGGTACATCTGGCCGTGTCAGTCTTGTAAGAGGTTCCGCAATTTTCGAAAATCCTTCGACAAAACGGCGGTAGTACGCACAGAGCCCGAGGAATCGCTGAACAGCCTTTTTGTCTCCAGGACGAGGGAAATCGGCAACGGCAGCCAACTTCTCCGGATCTGGTCGAACACCCTCCGGGCTAACCACGTGGCCGAGAAACTTGAGTTCCTGATAGCTGAAGTAGCACTTTTCGGGCTTGATGGTAAGGTTCGCTCTCCGTATTGCAGTGAGGACACTTTTTAGCCTTGAAAGATGCTCGTCAAATGTGGTTGAAAACACTACGACATCATCCAAGTATACAAGACACGTCTGACACTTTAGTCCAGCTAGTACAGTATCCATCATGCGTTGAAACGTGGCGGGAGCGGAACAGAGACCGAAAGGCAGCACTTTAAATTCGTAGAGCCCGTCAGGCGTCACGAACGCGGTTTTCTCACGGTCGCCCTCGTCAACTTCAATTTGCCAGTACCCTGACTTGAGATCTAGTGATGTGAAGAACTGGGCGTGGCGTAAACGGTCTAAGGCGTCATCAATCCGTGGCAGCGGGTAAACGTCACGTTTCGTGACTTTGTTATGCCGTCGATAGTCGACGCAGAAGCGTAGTGTGTTGTCTTTTTTCTTTACTAAGACAACAGGTGACGCCCATGGACTTGTCGAGGGTTGGATGACGTCATCATTCAGCATTTCTTGAACTTGACGCTTAATCACCTCTCTTTCCTTCGGGGACACACGGTATGGATGTTGGCGAAGAGGCCGCGCCGACTCGTCGGTAACAATGCGGTGTTTTGTAACGGTGGTACGCTGAACTTTCGATGCTGTGGAGAAGCAGTCCGATAATTCCCTCACAAGGTTTAGCAGCTGCTCTTTTCGTGAATCTGGCAAGTCTGGATTAACGTGAATGCGGCTTCCCAGGTCAGCACAATCTTTTGCATGCGGTGAAGTCGTATCCAATGTGCCGATATCGAAAAAGTCGGCGATTTCACTGAGGAAAGCGACAGTAGTCCCTCTAGGAACGTGCTGAAACTCATTGCTGAAGTTGGTCAGCAGAACTCGAGAGTGTTTATTCTCTAACCGAACAAGACATCGGGCTATGCATATGTTTCTTTTGAGCAGCAGCGGGATATTTGCCTCAGCAATACCTTCATAGTCATTGAATTCTTCAAAAACGTCGCAGGCTACCAAGGTGAACACGCTACTCTTCGGCGGTAACGTGACGTCATCGTCAACAATTTTCAAAGCATTGACGTAACTGCCGTGAGGGTTGCGCGCTAAAGCGTGTGCCGTAGAAAACGTCACTTGCGACTGTTGCAAATCAATCACGGCTCCATTATCACGCAGAAAGTCCAGTCCGAGAATTAGGTCCCTCGAGCAACTCGGCAGTATTACAAAATCTCCGAGATACGTAAATTCGTGAATACTGACTCGCGCTGTGCACCGCCCCACCGGAGTAAGAAGATGGCCTCCTGCCGTACGTATCTGCGACCCAGCCCACTGGGTAGAAACCTTCTTCAGCCTGCAGGCAAGACCCATGCTCATAACGGAAGTGTCTGCTCCAGTGTCAATTAGCGCCATTACTTCTTCGTCGTCCACAGTTACCGCAATGTTTGATGTCACCACTCTTCGCATCACGTTTGACTGCGTCTGTACATCTTTTTGCTGCTGTCGCTGTCGTCGTTGTGGAGGATCTTCCGTAGAGTCAGCGTCAGCGGCCTCACCTCCGGAGGTCGCTGAACTCAGTTTTCCCGACTTGCAGGACTGGGTGAACGGCGTCTTGGAGCGCCGCGTGAATAGGCTGGGCTCGGTGACCTGTAGCGAGCAAGCGACGACGAGCGAGGCTCTTGTGACCGATGTTCGATACTGCGACGATTCGAGATGAAACTCTCTATTTCCTGTGGTAGCTCGCCAGGTCGTGGACGAGGGGCATTAGGCGAAAATCCACGGAGACCCACACGACGGTATGGACATGTTCGGTAGACGTGTCCGGCTTCCCCGCAGTGGAAACAAAGGAGTCTGTGGTCGGGTGTACGCCAGATGTCACTCTTTCTCGGTCTTGCTTCGGCGACCAACGGTGAGCCGCGAGGGCGGAAGCCTACCTCCATTTGCTGAGCGTGTCGCTCATTGGGGTAAAATACGCTGGTTGAACTGCACGATGTAGGACGTCACACTGCTTCCGCGTAGCTCGTCTCGACGCAGTGCCTCTGTTGTGGCGCCTCGGATGGTTGGGGAGCGTGAACGGCTTGCCGTAGCTCGGCGCGTACCATCTCCGCAATGGAGAGCTGCTCTGCAGGTGAAGCAGTCACCTTCATCTTTTGTAGCTCTTCCTTAATGAGAGCTCTGATAAGCTCTCGCAACGCGCTGATGTCATTGCCGAGAGTGACAGAAGTGACCTCACTTGGGTTTACACCACGGTTATACTGCCTGGCACGCTGTTGAACGGCCCTCTCCATGGCAGTGGCTTCCTCATGGAACTCCGCAAGTGTCGCAGGCGGGTTTCGAATCAGGCCGGCAAAAATCTCTTCTTTAACACCACGCATTAGGTGGCGAACTTTCTTGGATTCGGACATAGAGGGCTCCGCACGCTTGAAAGCCCGATCCATGTCCTCTACGTAGGTCGTCACCCTTTCGTTAGGGCCTTGAACCCTTGCCTCTATAGCACGCTCCGCTGTCTCTTTCCTGTCCTCTCGGGCAAATGCCTCCCATGACGTAAGCGCTGCTTCATGGTTCTATACCCCGTTTTCGCGGAGTCCTCCAGGAAGCAGTACACATAGCGTAGCTTACGCTCTGTGGTCCAATCGTTGATGACGGCGACCCGGTTGAAATGCTCGAGCCAGTCGTCGGCATCTTCAAAAGCAGCTCCGTGAAATGTCTTCAGCGTCTTGGGCTGGTTGATAACCAGGTGCGCTGGTGCTGGAGCGGTTACGTTAGGCGGTGTTTGATTCATAGTCCTCTGACGTTCAGGCAGCAAACCATGCTGTGGCTCGTGTTCCTGGAGACGACGGCTGGAACGTACGTGCACAGGGGTAAGCTCGGCTGAGATACTCGATGGACTTGCGTCAGTGGTGCTCTCAGGGGGCCGTATCATCTACCGTACCCAGCACCTCCACCAGAAAATGCCACAAAGACACAGGCACGCAGGTACAAAATAGGGCGCTTACTTTCGCAACCCAAGGGCCAGAAACGCGAACACCAGAGCACGCGCACACAAAACTACTTCCTTGTGCTCTTCAGAGGCTGGCTACTATAGTTGCCAGCCTACCTTGCGTCAATATGATGATGAGTGAGATGAAGCGTACGTGCGTCCATCCGTGAGTTTGTCTGTCTGTCTGTCTGTCTGTCTGTCTGTCTGTCTGTCTGTCTGTCTGTCTGTCTGTCTGCCCGTCCGTCCGTCCGTCCGTCCATCCGTCCGTCTGTCTGTCTGTCTGTCTGTCTGTCTGTCTGTCTGTCTGTCTGTCTGTCTGTCTGTGGATATGCTGTGCTGACTACGCCGGTGCTACCGACTGCCCTATAGACCATCCTTAAAACACACACGCAGCAAAGCTGGTCGATCGCAAAAAATGCAGTAGTGCTTGCAGATTCTTCTGTGACGTTTCACCCTGACGATGGGTAAAAGTATTTCCTTCGACAGAGCTTGATTATTTAATTTGTGGAGCGCGTTGCAAAGACATAGTCTCTGTACACTATACTGTACCCACTCACAATCGTTTCTTTGTTGCCACAGCGGTTTCCGGCGGCGTTGTCAGCCGTCCTAATGCGCAATGCATAGGCGTGGGTAATCACAACGCCCTACCTCAGCGCTGATTCATGTCTCTTCTGTTCATTCTCCAAAGTTTTTTTTTCTGCGCTGAGCAGTTTTCTAATGAATTATAAACTAGCCCAATTCCACGCTTTACTGTTCTCTACCGCAGCCTAAACAAAAGAGTCGAGTCTGCTCAGCAAAGCCTTGACGGGACTTAACTAAACGTAGGGTCAAGTGACTACAGTCATGCATGCATCAAGTGTGGTTGATTTCATTACAACGTGGTGCATTGACGAGCAAAGACTAATTGTTTCATGCGCTCTCCATGGTAACATCTTTAAGCTAACGCATTCGTGTATTGTGCTCTCTTTTGCATCTCTCATGCAGAGGGTACTACCTGGTCGTACTTCGTGAGGGCGGAACCATTCCTCGACCCGTCAAGCTTGTCAACTACAGCACCGCGCAAGACATGCGCCTTGGTTACTACGTTGCAGCCCACCTAACGCCCGAGCAATTGAATGAAGCGTTGGACTTTGTTGTCGGCGACGGTGACGTCATCGGTGGCTTCAAAAACCCACCACTCACCGATGCAATGCCGTATCGCTTTGGTCTGCTCGCCGAGACCAACTTTTCGGGGGTGAGAAATAGATTTCTAACTTATATACACCACTTTCCGGTCGAACTGAAGCGACACCATCTTGCAGTGACAACGTTGGCTTTTTGTATCTGTGTCAAATCAACAGAGCTACGGTGAACTTGGACGCTCAAAACGCTTATCCCGGTACTTCAGGCGTTGCACGAGCACACTCATTTCGTATTGCGGCATACAAAACCGGCAAAACAATTGCTTATCAGCCCAAGATGGCAGCGCTCATGAATTGAAAATAAAATCTTGTACAGGCATCAAACGTTGGCATGAAGGCAGGTGTACGAATGGAGCGCTTACTACGACATGAAAACAAACGTTGCTGATTAGACATCATTGCTCATTTTATATTTCTATAGAGGTGAAAAACTTTATAGGATTTGAACATTGCCTAACAATAACGTGTGTCGCTTGATGCGCAAAACTGGTGCATGTCCCTGCCGCTGGAGCTTGCCAATTTTAGTGTTGTTGCACGACTGAACTATGTGTACTATTCTCACCATATATACGCTTTTCATGTATTAGAGATTTACATGAACTGTAGTGTTGCGTTGTTGAACTGTGTTTTGCTTTGTTTTTGTGTTACTAGTTGAACGAACTTACGTGAACTCTTCATAGGAGGCTCTTGTACGTTCATATACTGCGAATTTCACGAAATATTTTATCTGGGAATGCGATTAGTCGGTGCTAGATAAAAACGCTGGCATACACTAAAAACGGTGCTAGATAAAAACGCTGGCATCCACTAAAAACGCATATTAAAGACGCAATGCAGTTAGTACTATATGTAGACGTACGTAGAAACTCGTTTGAACTCCGACTGAGCCTAGTGTTGTTCACTTATTTTTTCTATACAAGGCACGTATAGGTTACAAAGTAATGAAGATGGCTAAAACGGAAACAAAATGCGCTAGACACGGGATAGTCAAAGAACGACCACCCTGCGTTTACACTCACTCCCATAGCAAACATGACCACAATCACAATTTCTAATTTCGTAACTAAGCTTTACTGCTTATGACACCATCTATACAAAAGTTGTACATGAAGTTGTCCATAGTGCATTGCGTGGAATGACAACATAGCGACGAGCAAACGTATCGACAAATAAATTATCCTCAATGAAGTTTTATGAAGCCTAGAATTTATAGCCAAGTCAGAGACAGGTGCATTTACAGAAAGGCAGAGAGGTCGGCCTGAGCAATAGCATACTCTAGCTTGCTACTCTACAGAGTGGAAGGAGAAAGGGGAGAAAAAATAGTAATTGATTACGATGGTGACATAGAGAAATCAGTATATGCAGTTCTTTCAACTTAAAAAAACAATATAGCCGCCTATACAGTCCAGTTGCTATAGCAAAGTCAGTGAAACAACAATGCAAGTGGCTATAGCTTACAGCAGGTATTCAATGCAGCCCAAATTCTGACATATGATCTTCTGTACAAGCACAATAATAAACACGTGCGTGATTTCTAAAAAAGCAATATAAGCTAACAAGCCAGTGCAGGTGTTTACAGGATAGCACATAACGAGGCTACAATCTTTTTAACGAAGAGCTTGAGCCATCTGCACGAAATGTACAATAACCACGTGCACATATACACCGATGGTTCAACCACAGCGTCTGGTTCTGGTGGTGCGGTGGTGATTCCAGCTAGAGGAATCACTCTGCGAATCAAACTGTCACATGCCACTACGTCCACAGCGGCAGAACTTGCGGCTTTGCGTGGCGCCATAGAGTACATCAAATCCCAAAGACCTAGCAAATGGGCTGTGTTTTCCGACTCAAAACCAGCCCTGCAGTGCATGCAGTCAGTCCTTCGACGAGGTTGCCATGAACAATTAACTTACGAAGTTGTCAAGCTCGTACACCACGTCACAGAAACAGGCCACGAGGTCAGGTTTCAGTGGCTTCCTGGTCATTGTAGGATCAGTGGCAATGATTTCGCAGACAACGCGGCTCGTACATCGCACCAAGAAGAACACACCCTTCCGATTCCTTTATCAAGGACTGACGCTGCAAATAAACTTCGTCACCTGGCACGTAGTCTAAGTCTGCAGGAGTAAAACACCCCAAGCATAAGACATACGAGACTATGTCAAATAAACCCTCGACTGGAACTTCGACCTCCATCTGGACTTCGTCGACGTGAAGCTTCACTTTTTTGTCGCCTATGTTTGGGGGGTCGCCTTCACAAAAGCATATAGAACCCTCATCGGATTGACCGACAATGCGGAATGCGACGTCTGCTGCACCAAAGAAGACATCGACCATCTGATATGTCATTGCCCTCGATTTGCCCTGAAAGACAGAAGCTTTCGAACGCATTGAGACAATTGGACGATCGGCCACTCTCTGTGCAGATGCTACTAGAACACCGTCATCGCCTTTCGTCGGCTCAAAAAGCAGTCAAAGCTGTCTTGCGCTTTTTGAGGACTACAGGCCTATGTGACTACCTTTAACTTTTGTGTAGTGCCACCGCTGCATACGCGCCAGCCGATTGACTGACAATCCTCCTTTTCTTTCTCTCCCTATCTCTCTCTTTCTCTTCTCCTTCCTCTCTCTCTCTCTCATCTTTATGCCCCCTTCCTATTCCCCCAGCGTAGGGTAGCAAACCGGGCATGTGCCTGGTTAACCTCCCTGCCTTCCCTCTTGTTGTTTACCCCCCCCCCTCGTTTTTGACAAGCAATATTTCAAGTGCTCTTTGGCTATTTCTTACAGGAGGTGCTTTACGGGTACAGCCTCACAGCTCCTGTCATTGGTAAGCTGTTTGTACTACAGTTGTAACATGAAGCGTCTGTATAACTGACTTCGATGTAGCGAGATATTCTGTGTAATGAACACTTCGCATTTTTTATCGTACTTGAATGAAGCTCGTATTTTTTTTTCACTAATAAAGAAACATTTGCCACATTTTCTTCATTTATTCCATGTAGGTGAATGCTTTCTCGTTCATTGTGATAAGTAGAAAAACATTCGTTTAACAGTCAACACTGCGTGATTATTGTGGATGTTTGACGCAGTCAATGGTGGTGGCAGCGCAGCCGGGGTTGGTGTCGTCATCGGAGCCATCCTCGTTCTACTCATCCTCATAATCGCAGCGATTGCACTCACCTTCTACTACGTACGGTAAGCATATATGTTGTGGTTTGTCAGCACGGATAGGCATATATAATTACCTGGCTTGAAGTATTCTTAGCATTCTGCTGAGGATGCTGGAAGTGCTCCACGAACTCTCGTTTTTAACATAAACACCCGCAAATTTATGCAAACCTGATAGAAAAAAGAACTTGTTGAAAGACCCCCTACCAGCCTCTCAGAATACGAAAAGCAAGGAGAGCAATACTCACTCCTGGCGTTTCTCGCTTTACTTTTGCATTTCTGTGACGCACAGAGTGATTGCGGTGACGTCTATTGTGCACATGCACTCGAATCGTCCATATACGCAAAACATGTGATCTAATTTCTCTCCTGCACTGTTTTCTTATGCAGGTGCCCATCCGTTCTTTCCTGTCTTGCATTCTATCGCGAGCAATCAACTTATTTCACTTCCTTTTGTGTATTTTCCTGTGCGCAAGCGGTGATAACAATGTGGGGCCGATAAGTGCGAAATCCTGATAGGCTAGAGCTCTTGATGCTGACGTTGCTGACGTGTTCTTGAAGGGGTCCTGAAACACTTTTTCAAATAAAGATGGAATGAATTCACTGGAAGAGCTTCCTGCTTTACAAATTCAATGCCGCAAAAAAAATTAGGAATCCGTCCAGTGCGAGTGGAGTTGCAAGGATTTGTCGCATGCTGCAATGGCATTTGCTCTTCTCTCGTCCCGACGAAAGTACTGGAAGCTGAGGAGGGAGGAATAGCAGGGTCAAAGAAAATACGTCAGTCGTGCTTCGTGACCTGGAGAACTTTTTTTTCTTTGAATGCGCGGCTTTCCAGTGTGATCGCACGTGTATTTGTGCACAAGTCGCGACCTCCCGCGGCGATCTCTGTGATGACCGAGCGCGCCATGTTAAAATCAGCCGATGGCTGATAGACGGGCTTGCTACGAGTGGTTTTTGAGCGTCTTCTGCCATTTTTCGAGATAAGAGAAAGAAATCTTCGCCGACATTCATACTTTATTAAGTATTCCAGGCCACGTGCTGCGCTGTAATATTTGACTCGCGTGTTGTCAGGAGCCTCTACTACCGATATCGTTAGCGCTTTCGGATCGTGCTCAAAAAGCGTGTCAGGGCCCCTTTAAGAGATAAGTGGTGAGGAGAATGCATCGCTAACGCGAAGGGTAGCGAAGACGAGGGGAAAACCATTCCCTCGCTTCTGAACGTGGTGTGGGGAGGGCCCCTTTAAAAATGCAGTGTGGAACCACTCGCTATTTACACAAAAACTATGTACCTTTAGTCTCCTAGGCAACATTCGTTTGCTGATAATGCGTAGCATACACTAAGCATATGTTTTAAAGAACCTACCTATACAGTAGCATGTTGTATTCGATTCCTTTTCAAACATTCTGGGTACTAATGTAACCTCACACACCCAACCAGAATAGGCGATAGAGCAGCTAAAGTATTTCCTTTTTTTACAAACATATTATAAGCACTGTGTCCACGTTGCGAGCGACTCTTCGTGTGCTGTTTCTAAAAACTTTCGTGAAGCTATGTGTATTGGTACACTTTTACACGACCATTTTGTTGAAAAGTGCATCCTTAGTTTGATGAGTGAGACGCCGATGAATAAAGCTAACTTGCACGTCGACTAGCTCTCACATTAACATCAGTTGTCAAATTTGCAAATAAGTCTCTTAAATGCTGTGTGAAAAACTCAGTTTTCGGTATACCCAATACCACAAAATCCGCAATTGAGATTCGCGCAATTTCATGCGCAACACTTCTCCTGGCGTCCAAAGGTGAATATGCATCTTTCAATTGAATGCCGCGACTACAACCATAACAATCTGATGCACACGAGGTACGTACGTTGTGTCATCAGCATAAACAACTTATGGTCAAACCCACCTACCACGGTGTCAGCACTTCCACTTCAGCCCGAAATAGCCCCGCCGCGGTGGTCTAGTGGCTAAGGTACCCGGCTGCTGACCCGCACGTCGCGGGTTCGAATCCCGGCTGCGGCGGCTGCATTTCCGATGGAGGCGGAAATGTTGTAGGCCGGTGTACACAGATTTGGGTGCACGTTAGAGAACCCCAGGTGGTCGAAATTTCCGGAGCCCTCCACTACGGCGTCTCTCATAATCATATAGTGGTTTTGGGACGTTAAACCCCACATATCAATCAATCAATCAACTTCAGCCCAAAATTAACACATCGCAGATATAGAAAGATAACTTTACGTAATGCGCTACGGTAGCCTTGAAACAAGGAGCTTAGGGAACGTAATGAACTGCGCGTGTGCAACTGGCTCCAAATTAAATTAATTTACAACGTTTTGAAAACTAAATCTGCTACTCCTATGCAGTTTCCACGGACGTTTGCCTTTATGCTGAATGTTTCGCCCTACGTGCCTAGGCACATCTTAACAAAAATTTTACTGTTGTTTGCTACAGGAAGCGGCAAGCTCTTGCGTATCGGTCTAGGAGCCCGACAAAGCGAAGCTTGAAAAACCGTCTCTCGAGGCTTTCAAAGTGTAAGTCACTTTGTGTGTGTGTGTGTGTATGCTTTCAAGCGAACGTTCTCTACACGATTTTTTGTCGGTGCTGTCGTCGTGGTTGTTGTTGTTGTTGTTGTTGTTGTTGTTGTTGTTGTTGTTGTTGAAAACTTTCTCCTTGGCATAGTACTGTTCAATCACTTAGACGCATGAATGTTCGTTTAGCTACATAAAATACGGTGTCACAGTGTTGCCCAGAAGAAACTAAATGAACAAATAAACAAATGAAAACAAGTGAGAACAGGAAAAAAGTAGGAACGTATATTTCAAAAATGGGCATTCGTATACACACAAAAATGCTTTAGGATGATCTTCGTGGTTGTAACCACATGATGTGAACGACAAATGTTGGATCCCCGGCACGACCGTCTGCGGCATAAGAGTCCTTGTAATTTTCGGGATCACGACTGCTACTGTGCCATCTGAGTGCTGACCATTGCTGGGCGACTACTTGAGGCCATATTTTCTGGATGTAGACTTCACGCAAGACTGCACAATGAGTGCTCCCTGCTAACGAATAACAAGATGCAGGCATGATAAAGAAGAGAGGTGGGAAATCGGGAATACTTTCAAAATTCACCGACAAGGAAATTCGCATGGAGTATATATGCACAGGGAGGTACTTGTAACTTCGAACAAATGTGGTACTTGTCTAACTGGCTTAGGTAGGCACCAACTTCTCGCGTAGCAATCGTTCATACATTTCTGAGAACAATCATTTGTACAGCAGAATTAAAGCCATCATGAATAGAGCGCTGTGAAAGACGCTGTGACACACGTGATTTTTAGAAATAAGCATTCACAGACGAGTACAGAAAAATCTCAAACACTCGAGGTTTTAATGTACAATGCTAAAACACGTTAGCATATCATATTCTTTTGATATGCGCTAAAGGTTCAAGAACAGAATAAACATCACTGCATGAATGAAAGAGCTGCCGCACGTCGTTAGCTTCGTATAAAGCGCCGCGTAGGATTTTACCGGAAAGAACAGTGTCTATTTGGGAAGCGTTGACTCAAGTAAAAAACAAACATAGTAATGGGTGAAGTGCTGACTATCAAATCCAGAATCTCACACACACACACACACACACACACACACACACACATGCACACACATGCACGCACACACACACACACACACACACACACACACGCGCGCGCGTTTATTATTGTAATATGCATGTCATTCTTGTTTAAAATAAAACCACGTTCATAAAGACTGTTCACTCAAGCAGTCACTTCTATAAACTTACCCGATACTGTGTTTAATTTTCTTGTTTTTTCGTCTCTTTGTCACTTTTATCCAAAGAAAATTCATTGTGCTGGGGAAAGAAAAGAATGACGCTTGAAGTCGCAAGCTAAGTAATAAAATAGGCTTCATCTTCGAGAATATTCATAGTGCCCACCTGAGGTAACCATGAAAATGGGAAACAGCGCTATAGCTGAAGTACGTCCTACAAGGAAATACAGACAGCCCTATTTTTCGAGTATTTCAAAGATACCATCCCTTTATATCCAATAGCCCTGGCATCGAAAGCCAAACGCCAAAAGCTGTGGTCGTTTCATGTGAAGGAATGGCACATGCGAGTGGGAGAGGGGGGGGGTCATGCAGCTAACGTCACGCCTATAGAAAATATCTCATTTATATGAACCAACATTCGGTGCTTGTTTAAAAAACACATTCTACGGGAAGGAGACGCTGTTATTAGCTAAGCGGATTCTTGAAGTCATGCGTGATATGAACGGTGAAAGCAGGGCGCGCAGCTGCCATATTCTCATGCGTTTTTTTTTTTGAACACAGAGTCATGTGCTCACCCTCTTCAAAGCAGTCGGCGTCCGGTGTTTGGAGTCGCATAAGACATGACAATATATCGGGCAATCGCGGACACAAATCAACAGTGGTGTTTGGATCACATGCGTTTCTTTATAAGGGGTACCACCTCGTTCTGGCGCCGCACTCTGTTGTCTCCTGACATTACCCAGTAGTCACACTAGAGCACACAAGAATCACAGCAGGAGAGAGCGATGGCCTAACGTAACGCCGTACGTAGCTTCCTTTCCATGCCTATAGCTTCAAACCTGATCTTCGGGACGAGGAAGGCAACAAAGTGCTTAAATATCGCAACAAACTTCTGTAACTCTATTCATCCTTGATGGAAATATAGTCTTGAAAGACAAGTATCAAGACATTACGAAGTTGCACTCTGAATCATGGGTTAGTGAATCTTCAGTGCTTATCACCGATAAAGAATTTCAGTACCAGGCCAATGCATAAAACACCAGTACCACACGTGTTAAGGTGCCGTTAGGCTAAAGAAAGGGGGGGTTTGGGGGGACCATGGAGCATGTTAGTATATTGGCATGATGCTGCTGTTAGTTTTTCACGCATGCACGGTGATGTTCTCCATGAATTACCGTTCGTAATAAACTTCAGTGGTACGTCCGGCCTTCTCCAATGAGTTTCTTTCGTCGTGTGCTCCCTTCTTAACCTTCCTGGAACACTTCTCTTTCAGATTCTTGACGCATTCAGTAATGGTTTGCAGCAATTGAATTGTGAGGCAATACACTCCGATACTGAGATCAATTGTTCATTAGGTCAAAAGTTGTTCAGCAACCTTTTTGACGATTTTGCCACATCCTCAAGATCACGTTGCGCTTGTCAACTTTATCTTTCCGTAACTCTATTTTCACTATACAGTTTGGAAAGCGGTTTTGAAGATTTGGAGAAAAAGAGAGAGAAAAAGAGAAGCAGCTGTGACAGTGATGTCACGTTCCACGCTAGATTGATGGACTGTTACTAACACTGTCCTTATGTATGCGCTGTGTGGCGTGAGATCTCTCTGCTTTCTCTCTCGCCTCTCCCTCTTTCTCTTTTCCTCGTCCCATTTCCCACGCGTAGGGTCTCAAACCGGCAATTTCGGACTGGTTGACGCCCCTATACCTTCCCTTCTCTAACATTTATTGCCTCCGATACGGTTTTTATGCACTCTGCAGTGACACTTCTTTTCGCTTCTTGTGTAACCCAGTGGACGAAAACAGCATGTCCGAATCGCGCATGACCTTGAACATGGAGAGCAGCGACTCGGTCAACATGACAGTCGTGGCCAACGGTGGCCTTCCGTCGAAGCCTGTCCCCCTGAAGCGGCTTCAGGACCACGTCATTCAAGGTCAAGCGAATGGCGTGCTTAAGGAAGAGTACATGGTACGGAGAATGTCTTCCTGCCTTCCGAATTCCAAAATTGTGTTTGCCTAAGCGCAGTTATCCATATACAGTTGTATGTATACTACCTTTGTACAAAATAGACCAACAAGAAAGTGTGAGCTGGTGATTGTGTCTATCAGTAGTCTAAAAGAAGGCCATCAGGTATGAATTTATTCCCCCAAAAAAAGGATCAATCACTTTCTATATTGGAGTCAATACTGAAAACATCCAGCGAAAAGAGAAGACATTAAGAAGTAAGTCTATGTAATGTGTACAACGGCACATCTTAAACAATATATACTAAAATTCACAATATGGTAAATTAAGAGAACAATAGAAAAAAATTACCGATGCAAAAAAAAATAGGTGCAAGAACCCCTAGACGAAAACCGCCAAGAATTATTACATGAGTTATGCTTTGTTCAGTCCTAAATGACTTGCTGTGGTGAGTTTGAGGCTACCTACAGCATGAGAATCAAACTCGCGCCAAAAGAAAAAAAGCAGCAAAAGTCACAGGGTTGCCTATGCTTTCACTTGGGAAGAGTCGGAGGCGAAAGCTAGCTCGTGTGGTCATTAACGCGGTAGCGTTAGTAAGCTCGTTTCACGGAAATTGCGAGGTTAGTATCTGCATCGTTGGTTGTGAGCGAAAAAATCATAATGCCTGTGACCGAAAACTTTAAAATGATGCGAATAAAATAAATGAAAGAAGTATGTGTTTGAAATGAGAACCGAACCCTGGCCGCCTTCGTAAAAAACTGTGTGCTACCATATAAACAATATCATGCTTGAGACTATTTCGAGGAAGATTATAGGAACATCATAGGAAGATTACGTGGCAGAAGTGTAGAATCACGCACAGCGTCAAAACGTGAAATTGCCCTGAATGGGTGTTTCAGAGGTCCAGCACTCAGACATATTTACTGGTCAACATCGGCAGAACCATCAACAAAGAGAGCAGTTGCGTAGGGTTCACGTGTTGCCCTACGAGAAGTGGGCCCAGCAGTCGTAGGACAACACGTGAACCCTGCGATGAATTGCGAAATGATGAATTATGATGCAGTGGGCACCTAACAACTAAACATGCATTCGAGGACAGCGTGAAGGGCCATTGCTGAAAGTGTAGTGATTTACTTCCTTACAGCATGGTTCAGGCATGCGCCAAGAACCGAAGCCAGGCTTGCGATTGAGCTGCGTATGCGCAGGGGGACTGCTTACTCTGTCGCGTCCTATTTTCGATGAGGAAGCTCAAGCGTCCTTCAAGTTTTCACCAGCACAGCGTAGACAACCACTCCAACAAGGGGCTAACCAGCCTGTCTTTCCGCTTTTATCATCTTCATTATCACCATGACTACTACCACCAACACCGCCACCATCATCAACATCATCATCATCATATTCACTTATTTTTTTACCCTTAAGGGCGCCTCAAAGGGCATTTACTCGTACAAATATGCGTGTGAATGTTTCGTAAATTACTGAATTTACACTTTGTATCGGTTCTTATGAAGTCTTGTCACGCAATTTCCTACTTTAACATAGAATTTAGCAACGCATTGTTATTCCAGAGCCGTGATTGGTCGGAAACTAGGTTTGGCATGAACGAACACGATGCCATGAGTCGGCACAGGCTCTCGTCATCCTCCTCACCTTTTGCTTCGCTATAAGAACACGTGCGGCCCTTTGACCAGTGTAGGGGGCAGTCACTTTTATGGGCAGGAGAGCGAGCACAGAGACAGAAACAAAGAAATACCCCGCCACGGTGGTCTAGTGGCTAAGGTACTCGGCTGCTGACACGCAGGTCGCGGGATCGAATCCCGGCTGTGGCGGCTGCATTTCCGATGGAGGCGGAAACGCTGTAGGCCCGTATGCTCAGATTTGGGCGCACGTTAAAGAACCCCGGGTGGTCGAAATATCCGGAGTCCTTCACTACGGCGTCTCTCATAATCATATGGTGGTTATGGGACGTTAAACCCCACATATCAATCAATCAAATCAGAAACAATGTAATAGCAAGAAAGAGAAAATCTTAGGGAACCACAGGAAATAAACCTGAGAAAAACGGAGAAAATAAATCGGAAGAATGAGAAAGAGATGGAAATAGACACACGTAGAAGATATAGCAAAACAGCAAGGCAAAAGCCAAAAGATGAAAAAAAAATGACAGAGAATGAAAAGACGAACAGAAATATATAAGCAAACAGAAGGAGATAGAAAGTAATAGCAAGCTACACCAATTGAGAAATACCAAAAAAAAAGGGTTGAAAGAACTGGAAAAAAAGCAATAGAAACAAACTAAGACAGAGAAAAATGGAATCAAGAGAAAGAGGGCAAGAGACTAAATAGGAAGAAAGAACGAGAAGTAAAAAAATACAAGCAAGGAAGGCTTCTGAACTTCAAACTTCGTTGAGGGTTAACTGCAATATTGAGAAGCTGGCTTCATTTCTTTTTTAATTCAATGCAGTACACATTCCTAATGCTTTTTCTATTTTGTATTGCAGACTACACCAAAGGGACAACTGCATCCATGGAACGAGGCGAAAAAGGCTGAGAATAAGCCCAAGAATCGCTACGGAAACATCCTACCATGTAAGGCACGACTGATACGTAGTAGTCGCGTTAATGTCTGGTAAAACCACCAAAGCGCTCTTTTTTTCGCGAAGCTGTACTCATAACTGGTGAAAGCGCACTCCCTGGTGTTTTGAAGCACCACTAAAAAATGGTGAAACTTTTCCAACCACACCGTCACTGTCATTCTATGTTTCCTTCGCAAACCACCACGTTTGCGAAGAGGTTGATGTCCCTCGAATGACCGTTAAGGAAAAAAGTCACAGCTTCGACGCAAAAACGAAGCAATGTACGCGATAACAACAAAATGGAAGGTCACGCGCAGTATAGCAAGCAGATCGAAACGTGCCCCGCGTTTCTCACGCACAAATGAAACACAAAACGTACTCACAGGTACAAATGAACGCGAATAAGCATCTCAGTTGCTACTGCGCTGTGTCTCAAAAGCGTGCTCTTTTCGCAAACGAAGAGTGTGCAACGATTGTAGTGACCTTTTTGCGCGCGGTAACTACAAGAGGGTCATTCCAGTGAAAGCCCAAGGCCAGCCAAGGCGTACCATTCTCCCCACCACGAGATAAACGCACGCGTGAGCATCCACCCTGCCCTCTTTACGCGGGGCAAATTACGCGCGTGGGATGAGAGCGCGCGCCGATGCGTCGTGACGATATGACGACGCGTACTCATTGCGCCATCTCTCTGGTAATGCTGAAAACACGATGGTTACTCGAGATGCCTATCACGAGTGGTAAGCGGTAGGTATAAGTAGCTTCTCGTTTAAATGTTCAAGTAGGTGCTCCTTCGTGGCTCAGTGGCTAACCTCTCGCACTCACAATTCACAGGTCCAACATACCATTCCGTGCACTGGAGTCTTTTTCTGAATTATTTATCTTTCTTGCGCTTTTGTATATGTGGATACGTATACATATACGGTGAGTGACGGTGATGTCGACGCCGACACTGGTGGCGAAATCCAGCCGAGAGCGTCCATTAATTGCTATCGCAATAAAAACTTGCGGTTCCATGTACAACTAAAGAACGATAGGCCAAGATCCTTTGAAATGGGACGCAAACGAATATGCACCTGATCTCGTTGCTGGCTTTCATGAAGGCGGTATGTTGGGGAGCGGGCGAGGAGAGCGTTTGATACGGTCGGCGGCGGGAATGAATGAGTGAGTGAGTGTGCGACGTCCGCCTCACAGCGCGAGCCATCTGTCACCGCTCCTGCGCTCACTGTAAGCGCGCCCCTGTTGTGTTGCTGGGTGCGCTCGCGCGACACTGGGAGCTTAGACGGCCGCGACGGCAACGGCCGTCGCCGCTGTCGAAAGCGGTCAAGCCTGTTTGAAAGCGGTTAAGCCCAACTTGTGTGTGTTTGGGAGGAGGGGGGGGGGCTTACGAATAACTCCTGGTACGCTTTCCCACATTTTTCTTCTTAAAGCCGGTGCGGGAGGGCTGTGATAGTCGTGTTTATCACGGCCCTCGCCGAGCAGTGGAGGTGGTTGCACGAGAGAGTGGTATCAACTGACATTGCGAATGTCCTCTGGTCTATCGACTCACGTGCGAAAAATTGACTTTAACTGAGCGTCAAGGTCGATTGCATGCACACAGTCGTTTTGTGGGTTGTTACCGGGAGGAGTAGAGCTGTAGCTTTGAAATCTCTCGTCGCTACCATTGTGCACGACATACACATTGTTCTGTATACGCGTCATAGTATCTTAACGTAGCTTCCTCTTCAGCTCCGTCTCCATTGCCCATTTTCATCTCTCTCGGTATTTAAATCTTCCTGGGCCCTGCCTCTAGTGTAGGGTGACATACCATACCGGTTCTTATACCCTGCACTGTATTTCTGTTTTGTTCCTTTCATTCCACTCTGTAGCTTGTTGAGTGCAGATAGCAGCGTAGTCGCAATCCAATGCTACTATTGTTCATGCTCAAACAACTTAAGTTTATTGTTTCTTATCTGAACGACGTCATAAATGCTACAGTGCCCTTTTTCCGCTCTACGTTTCGGTGTCATTCAAGAAACAGTGTACAAATCATAGTGCGATAAAAAACCACCTTCTGTATTGATTCGGTGTCCAATAGAGCGCTACTTTCATTCAGAATCTTCGTTTCACCGACTTTTTGCACCACTGTTTTTTCTTTCAAGTGTTTCATTGTTCTGAAAATTGTTCAACGTAAACTTACCTTTTAAATACAGCTTTTTGTTCCATTTTTTTGCCGCAGATGACCACTCGAGAGTTAAGCTGCTTCCTTTGCCCGACTTCGAAAATACGGATTATATAAACGCAAGCTATGTGTCGGTAAGAACCGTTATTTCACTAAAGAAGTGCGCTTTATTTATTGCCGATCACTCGTTAGCAAAATTTTATGGTAGTGCAGCCGCAAATATGTGCACTGGTATATTCAACAAAACAACCACCGCTCTTTCATGATGTTTTCATGCTGAAAAGTTGCCAAAAAGTGTTAGTCTTCTTATTTCTTTATTGAACACTTACTAAAATTCCATTGAAGTTGTGTAATGAACGCTATTTGATAACATCAAAGTCTTTGTTGGGCATTGCTTTAGCATTCATTAAGTCATTGTCGCTTGACTGGGTCAATGGCGCTTTCAGTATGCGGAGTACACGTTTTAACATTAGATAAGTCCGCCAACTACAGTGAGCCTTTATTATTAGTCTCAGAGGGATAAATATCATTTCTCTGGGAACAATAATATCTCCCGATAAAAGTCTTTATTATTATTTCTAGATGCCATAAGCTTCAAAAGTGAAGATTTGTAAGCTTTTTAATGCGCTAAGTAGTAGGAACAGAAATTCTCATCGCCACAAAGCGGTACGAGCTCACTGCGTGCTATTTAACCTGCGCTTCTCTCCCACAACCCATGCACGTATTCATCACGCAAGAAATATGAAAACTATTATGTACGAGTCTGTTAAATAAGTTAATTACATGTAACATCACGTGACAGCTAAAGCCACAACTAAAAGCACGTAATATCACGGAATAACTAGTCACATGGCTAAAGATCACGTGCACTCACAGGACTGAATTTACGTTAGATTACGAAACTATAGTCACGCCAAATTATGTAACACGCGTAGCTGCTCGCGTGAGTAAAAAAATACGTGACATTACCTAAAATTTGTCACATAATCAAAAATCGCGTAACATGCACGTGACTAATATCTGATAACATCAAGTAGCTAGTCAAGTGACTAGAGTAATGCAACATCGCCTAACTGCTCACGAGATGAGTCTCCTAAATGTATGCATAATTTAGTCACGTGACTGGAAATCACATTACATTAGGTGCCGTTTACAATAGTCACGCAACGTCACGTAATAGCGACAATTTTCCGGCCGAAACTACGTGACAAGTAATGGCGTGACTAAAATCACAAGATGACGTAACAGAAAGTAACGTGCCATATCTATCCAAGTTTAGCCATATTCAGAAATACTAGCAAAAACTTAGCATCTCAAGCAAAAGTTTGGCATTACTAGAAAAACTTTGAGAGGTCGAACATTAGCTCATCTGATGGCTCCAGCCTTATGCCACAATGACACGGTGCGCACACTTTTATTATTTGATAATTTATTATTTATTAGAAATGCTCGCAAGGGCTTTTCAGTAATATTGATTTTTTTCCATGCAGGGTTACCGATGTCCACGCAAGTACATCGCGACGCAAGGTATTTTGTTCTGGGGTTATCCTTTTTAAATGAAAATGTTATCAAAAAGAATTTAGCCCTTCTGTGTGGGTGCTCGCCGGCGGAAGGCTGCTCAGGGCAGAATCGCAGAGAATTTCTCTTAGGAGGAGTGCTCCTGTCAATCTGTGCAGGTCCTTGACCACTAGAATCGACTTACAATGATCTTGCTCTCGTGTGACCATTGTACGTTGAACTCAGTAATGTGCTTTCGCGAATTATAGCTCTTTTTTTGGACGCCAAATCTTTCTCAGTCTGTCAATGTGCAGTCTGTTGCAACGATGCACAGTCTGTCAATGTTAGCGCTTGGTTTGTAATGTTCCTGGTACCTCATTGACTATGGCAATTGCTTGGTTGTTTTTTTTATTTTTGCACATGCCTCAGGTAGCGTTTTTTTATTCATTTCATGCCTGTAAAACTTGAAAAGACTATAGGTGGTCAGGAAAGGTATTTGTATCACTCTTTGCAGGACTTTGTACCATTTCGCAGGATTTTAAATTATATAGAGCGCATTCCGACTACCGATTTTGTAAATTCGTTTAAATGTCTTGCAACCTAAACATCATACATTTTCCTTTTTTATTACACTAATGTGCAGGCCCCAAGCAGTCGACACTGACTGATTTTTGGCGAATGGTATGGCAAGAAGGCTCGTGTAAAATCATTATGCTCACCAACCTTAAGGAGCAAGACAAGGTAAGCACGCATGCAAACAATTTTTCAAGTCTTGCAAACATTTAAATTTCACCACGAAGTGGCACATTAAATTGAAAACCACTCATGCCAAAGTGTCAAGGACAGCTGCATCTATTGTATATATTGTCACGGGGTCATGACAGGGACAAAGGAAGCACACTCTTAGTTCAGATGAAACTATTTAGTCGGCCGAACTTGTGGCCAGTGAATGGCATGTCAGATTACAGCAACACACTACCAATGATGGCACCGAACACTGCGGCAGCCGTCGACCAACTGGCAAGAGGCGAAGCGCATTGGCATTCACACATGTGCCGTTCAATGTTGCAGCCTCATCAGTGGTCATCGCGCAAGCTCTGCAATAATCTTCAGCGTTCGCGTCTTACGCCCAATCTTAACATAACGAGCTACAATGTTTGCAAACCTTCTAGAACAATGAGACGCAGCTTGAGTGAAGAATTCTCGACAGGCTTTGTGCGCGAAAACTGAATGAAACAAAAGTGAAAATTAGAAACACACGTGGCATTATTATGCACGAAACCTAAATGAAAAAAAAATACGAAGAAGATTCTTATAAACGCAAAAGTGCAAACTCATTATACTGCTCAGTATTATCTTATTAAATGAGGTAATCAATGTCTTGATGATACAGGCTTTTCATGCTTCGCGTACCCTGATTGTCAGAACGTTTGAACTCCAAACATTTATTTTTCGCAAGGGGGAAGAAACGCATTTCTCAGTGTTCACTGATTACATCATCTGAAGAGGGACAGCTTTAAGCTCTCCCATAGTAGAGTACCTAATACTCTAAATCGTTACCCACTTTTTCTAAACACACATCATTTACTCGTGCTCTTGCGATTCGCAGTGTGCAAGCGTGACGTTTCTGAAATCTGTTTTCCTCAGCATACGTGTATGATAAAAGGAAACAATGCTGAGGTGCAATCACATATATATATATACCTAGGGCGCTAGAATTCATTTGCCAACAACAATGTGGCAATACATACCTGCATTGTGATCTTTAGCTATGTATTACTGGTCAGCTGTCTTGTCAATTGAGCGCTGTGTATTACTGGTAATAAATTTGAAACCCCACCACAATTCATTGTATAACTCCTGTGCTTAATCTCTTACGGCCATCTCCTGTTGCAGACAAAGTGTGAACAGTACTGGCCAGAGACCTCACAGAAGTACGGCAAATTTATGGTGACACTGATGAAGGCAGACACCCAGGTCGACTTTGTAGTTCGGGAATTCGAAATTGCACTGGTGAGTGCTCTTTCTTTTCTTTTGTGTACCAAGTTCTTATAAGGCATTAACCCAAGAGTTGCAATCAGCTTGAGGCAAATTAATTTGAAATCACGAACAAAAAAAGAGTGAGAGACAATAAAGATGAAGAGAAAGGCAGGAAGGTTAACCATGGCTGAGCCTGGTAGGCTACCTTGCACTGGGGAGGGAGTAAGGGGAATAAAAGTTAGAGAGAGAGAAAGAAAGAAATGTCACTCATGCCATCGACAAAACGGCAGTTATGTGCTTAACATCACAGACGATGAGTTACACCTGAGTCGTAATCAAATGAGCACATTCGTTGCATTAGCTTGTATGCGCGGTCCTACGCACCCAAAATCATGCCGATGGTGAAGCCATGATGGTGCCGCTTGTGTTCTCAAGCAGCACACTTCTGAAGGCTTGCGAGAACTAGTGTGATGGTGTCAAGGAGTTGCAACGCGAACCAAATATTCAAAAAGATTATGTGCTCTTAATGGAAAACAATTATTTGCATTAGAACAAATGCCCCCGTTACATGGTATTTTTATACGGACGCTTTTGCTTAAATAATTACATATTAATGTAATCTCCTTATGAATGTACTCTTGTCTGAGCTATGTTAGTAAATTTCAAGTGTGACTGATGAGAGCAGCCTGAACGAGCGAATCATGTGTTCTGTTTTCCTATAACTTAACACATCTCTGAGCCATACTGAAAAAGTTTGCAGAGTGTTAAATAGTGTTACTGTACAAAGTATCATGCGCCTAATCTTCCAGTACAATTGCTCGTTTACGCATGGTTCAGGAATTCAGTGCAACCCGCAGGGGCGCCTGCGCAAGTAGGCGTTTGGTGTGTAGCGACACCACGGACCCGAGCTAACGGGGGAGTTTCGGCTCCCTCCCACGCCTAGCCGTGCGTGGCTTTGCCGTGTCCGGAGAAAAGGGGATCCTGGGGGTTGAGCCAATGCTGGGTGATTGGACCTTTAAGGCCCCCCGGCAGAGGCAACACACCCCTTTGGCCCTGGCTTCACGTAGACGGCACCCCTGGGCTGACCCACCCAGGGGAAATCGGTAGTCGCCTTTTCCTATTTCTCTCTCTCTCTCTACATCTTAGTCTATTCTCGTCTTTAAATCTATCCTGTATCCTTCTCTCTTCCATTTACTTCCGATTTTTCCTGGCGGCAAGGGTTAACCTTGTGTATGTGCTCTGTCTTGGGCACAATACATTTGGTTATAGCGGCTGTGTACAGCTGACGTTGACATGCCTCATATAAATTTAGGACTTGTCACGTCCCCGTGTTGGGCTCCATGGTGGGCGGCTGGCATGGCTGCCGAACTCACATTTAGTTTATGGCTTTTTCTTCTCTCCCTTCATTGCACGATCGTCCTCTCCCGAAGAGAGGGCGCACCGAAGACTTTTGCAATTATTTCAGCAAACCGAAAGAAACCTTTCCCCGCTACCATGTAATCCATTGTGAAACCGCTGAAAAGAACGCCAGAACTATTTCGCCTTTCGTTGTTTCCAAATGCCTCACCACTACACTTGGATCAGGTTACCAGGCTACAAGAATGGCCAGTGGGGATCTCCTCCTCGAGGTAAAAAGTCAGAGCCAGTATGAAAACCTATCAAAACTAGAATCGTTTGGAAACATACCTATCTCAATTACACCACACCGCTCACTCAACACTTCCCGAGGCGTTGTATCTGATCAAGACTTGCTTGACCTGACTGAAGGTGAGCTCCTCGAGGGCTGGAAGGACCAGCAGGTGACACAAGTACAAAGAATCAAAATTAGGCGTGATAAGAAGGAAATCCCAACAAAACACATAATTGTGACATTTTGCACCAGTACCCTGCCTGAACATCTCGAAACAGGATACTTGAAGTTGAATGTGAGACCTTACATTCCGAACCCACGACGTTGCTTCAAATGCCAGCGTTTTGTCACGGCTCTCAGAGTTGCCGCGGCCAACTCACCTGCGGAAAGTGTGCCACCACAGGACACGCTACGGACGAGTGTAAGGTGGAGGATGGGTCCCACTGCGCAAACTGCGATGGTGCCCATCCCGCATACTCCCGAACCTGTCCAACATGGAAAAAGGAAAAAGAAATTGTTACAATCAAAATCACACAAAACATTACTTTCCGAGAAGCCCGTCAACAAGTATCTGGTCTTTTCACAAACAAACCATCGTTTTCCGATGTAGTGCAACAGGGGGCAGCACTACAACGGCCTGCGGCAACTGCCCATGCCAGGCACAGTGTGCCCAGGCGGTCGCCAATGCCCCCAACCACGGCGGGAACAGCCAAGGCTGCCCTGCCACTCGTCCCCACGGCGACAACCAAGGCCGCTGCAAGCTCTTGCAGCGGCCAGGGTATCCCAGCACCAAAGGAGGTTCCTTCGACCTCTAGCCCAAGAGGACCGAAGGTTTCGCCCCCCGAGGTGAAGGAGACCCCAGGGTCGGCCGATATGAAGGCCTCGTCTCACCAGGCGAGGTCTCAAGCCCAAAACATCAGCTCGCAAATGCGGACACGCAGTGCCTCTGAGGAGGCAAAGGACACCACGGCACCCCTGGTACAGAAAGTTCGGCGTAGCTCCCTGGAGCGCGCCAAAAGAAATAAAAAGCCAATAACGGGGCCCGGCGACGGCCCTGTTCTTTGAGTCTTAACGCTTAGCTTAAGAAGCAGACACACCCATTGTTCCTTACACACAGCACTACGTTACCTCCAATATGGCAACACAAATAATACATTGGAACGTCAGAGGACTCCTTCGAAACCTCGATGATGTTCAAGAGCTCTTTGCAAACATTCGCCGAAAGTGCTGTGTGTACAGGAAACTGATTTAAAATCTAAAAACACGAATTTTTTGCGTCAGTATGTTCTCTTCCGAAAGGACAGAGATGATGCTGCGGCATCATCCGGCGGTGTAGCCATTATTGTTAATCAAAAAGTAGCATGCACACATTTACCACTGCAAACAACACTAGAGGCAGTGGCTGTTCGAGCAGTTCTTTTCAACAAGCTCGTCACCATCTGCTCTCTGTACATACCCCCACACCACCGTCTTGAAAAACGAGAATTCGAGTCCTTAATAGACCAACTACCCGAACCTTATCTGGTCCTTGGTGACCTGAATGCTCATAGCAGTCTATGGGGTGATTCTCGCTGCGACGCACGAGGTCGTCTCATTGAACAGTTCCTTTTTCCTCCGGCGCCTGTCTGTTGAATAGGAAAGAGGCAACATATTATAACCTTGCCAACAAAACCTACTCTTCCATAGATCTCAGCATCGCACCTCCTTCACTTGTACCATTACTCCAATGGAAAGTTCTAAATAACCCCTACGGAAGCGACCATTTTCCTGTCGTTTTGAGTACACAAACATCATACGAATATCATCCACGAGCTCCCAAATGGCTTATACACAAAGCCGACTGGGAACAGTTTCATAACAAAGCTCACTTATCTTGGACTGACATATGTGGGCTAAGCATAGATGAAGCTGTGCAGTACTTCACAGCTCTCCTTATTAACACAGCAGCCAAATGCATCCCACAAACATCTGGACAGCCCGGCAAGCGACACGTCCCATGGTGGAACACAGAGTGTCGTAATGCGCGAAAGGAACAGAACAGGGCATGGAGGTTGCTGCGCAACTCGCCGACAGCGGAAAACCTTGAGAGCTTTAAGAAAATAAAGTCTCAAGGCAGGAGAACGCGACGGCAGGCCAGAAGAGAAAGCTGGCAGAAGTTTTTGTCAGGGATCAATTCATACAATAGGAGGCTAAAGTCTGGAACATGGTCGGTAGGATAGCAGGAAAAAAAGTACACACACTTCCACTCGTAAACACTCAGGGTGATACCTTGGAAGATCAGGCAAACTTCCTCGGTGCACACTTTGAACGGGTATCCAGCTCGTCCCACTATACTGACACTTTCCAAGAATATAGAAGAAGAATAGAAAAGCAGAAACTAGAACACAAATCCAATAGACACGAGGCATATAACCAAGCTTTCAGTCTAGCTGAGCTCCGAACATCTCTAAACTCCTGCAGTACTTCTGCCCCAGGTTCTGACCGTGTGGTGTATGAAATGTTAAAAAACCTACCAGCCGAAACACGAAAAACCTTACTTTGTTTGTACAACGCTATCTGGTTTTCTGGCACTATCCCTACCTCCTGGAAAGAGGCTATTATTATTCCCATTTTGAAAGAGGGCAAGGACCCTTCTTTAGCTTCAAGGTATAGGCCTATTGCACTTACAAGCTGCTTGTGCAAAGCATTCGAAAAATGATAAACTGCCGACTTGTACATATCCTTGAAACAAACAATTTGGCGACCCATTTCAGTGCGGGTTTTGAGAAAGCAGATCCACCACAGACCACCTTGTTCGTATCGAGGCACAGATCAGAGACGCCTTCGTCCATAAACAATATTTTCTTTCTGTGTTCCTCGATATCGAAAAGGCTCATGATACAACATGGCGTTTTGGAATTCTAAGAGATCTGCCCACCTTGGTGTGCGCGGAAGAATGTTTCATATAATCGAAAGTTACCTGTCAAACCGGACATTCCGTGTCCGTGTGGGCAGTGTTCTCTCCCAAACATTTGTCCAGGAAACAGGCGTGCCACAAGGTGGTGTGCTTAGTTGCACACTTTTTATTATCAAAATGAATTCTTTGTACTTGTCCATCCCCCACAGTATGTTCTATTGTACATATGTCGACGACGTTCAGCTTGGCTTCAAGTCATGCAACTTGGCAATGTGTGAGCGGCAGGTTCAGCTGGGCTTAAACAAGGTCTCCAAATGGGCAGATGAAAACGGATTTCGACTTAACCCACAAAAAAGCACGTGTGTCTTGTTCTCTCGAAAGAGAGGCATGCACTCTGAACCTGACATTCGACTGAACGGGCAACGTCTGTCCGTCAAAGCCGAACATAAATTCTTAGGCTTAATCTTGGACAACAAGCTGACCTTCGTTCCGCACATCAAGAATTTAAAAATAAAATGTTTAAAAGCCATGAATGTTATAAAAGTGCTGTCACGTACTACTTGGGGTAGTGATAGGCAATGCCTCATAAATCTGTATCGAAGCCTCATTCGCACCCGCTTAGATTATGGGGCCGTTGTTTATCAGTCTGCAACTCAAAGTGCTTTAAAGATGCTGGACCCCGTGCACCATTTGGGCATCCGCCTTTCTACGGGTGCTTTTCGCACCAGCCCCGTAGAAAGCCTTTATGTTGAGTCAAATGAGTGGTCACTTCGTCTGCAGAGAACTTATATGTCTTTTGTTTATTACCTTAAGGTGAAAGCAGATAAAAAGCACCCCTCATACTCTACTATTAATGATTTGTCGAGCTCATTTCTGTTTCAAAACAGGCCTTCGATGAGGCAGCCCTTCTCAGTTCGCCTGAAAAGTCTAGCCGAGGAAACTGGAGTCTCACTAGAACACAGTTTAATGGCTCCTGTAGCATATCCGCCACCGTGGCAATGGCAGACTATAGACTGCGATGTGTCCTTTCTAGAAGTTACAAAACATGCGCCTATTGCCCATATCCGAACATACTTCCTGGAACTTCAACACAAATACACATGTCCTGAGTTCTTTACAGATGCTTCCAAGTCCAACTCCTCTGTGTCCTACGCTGCTGTCGGCCCATCCTTTTCGGATGCTGGCCCTCTACATCCAAGCACAAGTATCTTCACAGCAGAAGCTTACGCGATACTTGTGGCAGCTAAACACATCAAACAACTACAAATACAAAAAGCAGTAATTTATACAGACTCCCTCAGTGTGGTAACGGCTCTGCACAGTCCTAAAAAACAAAAAAAACCCGGTCCTTGTCTCACTTTACTCCATTTTGTGCACACTCTACACACTAAAACAACATGTTGTAGTGTGCTGGGTGCCAGGGCACCGTGAGATCCAAGGCAATGTGAGGGCGGATCAGCTTGCTGCATCCGTCCACAAAAGCACTGGCCCTACACCCATATTAATCCCGGCCCTTGATCTTAAGCCGTCTCTCAAACGAAACATCAGGGACTACTGGCAGAGCAAGTGGGATACACACACACAAAACAAACTACACATTATTAAGCCACACCTTGGTCATTGGCTGCCAGTATCAAAATCGCGTCATACAGAGGTTATACTAACGAGACTCAGGATAGGACACATATACACGACACACACTTATCTTTTGTCTGGTGGCGATCCACCATTGTGTGACAGATGTGGTGAACCATTAACCGTCCTTCACGTGTTAATCCAGTGTAAACACTTAGAAACTATAAGAAAACAGCATTTTCCATTACCCTACCGACAACATATACCTTTACACCCTGCAATGTTCGTTGGTAGGGAACCGCTTTTTAGTCATAAATCATTGTTAGCGTTTTTAAAAGAAATTCGTAATTTTCATATCATATACCCGGGCATCCCGTAGCACGACCTCTCCAGGGAGGTTTTTGCTGCGGTGGCTACACAGGAAAGCACTTGCCTCACGGCCCTTGCACGCAAGGGTATGAACTAGTGAGGCACTTGTGCTAATGCCATACATATACACCATCGTTTTTTATTATCACCATCTTTTGTTATCTATTCACACCACACACACCTTTCACGGCATGGTCATGATTTTATTACTTGTATGTTTTTACCCGCCTTACCGCGAGGAATTTTATGGCCCTTATACAGCCGCTAATCACAATCATTGTCCACATTCCTTGTCGCATGAACTGGCGCTCTTTGGCCATCAAATGGCCCTTGCGCCAAAAAACACCATATATCATCATCAGGAATTCAGTGCAGAAATATTAACCTCTAGCATCAATTCCCCTTTGTAGAACATTTGAAATATCAGAGACTACCTGACATTAGCCAGATTGAAAGCAAGTCACGAGTTTCTCAACTTTCTGCGTCTATGGCATCTAATATTTATTTAATGCTTTATACTCATTTAATTTAATGCTTACTCTCAATGGCAAGAGCACTTCCCAGAGGAGTGAGTTACTGGTTATTCAATACCAGTAGCTTAGCCTCCCGAAGACACAATATGGTAGGGGAATAACGTGGTGAAGGGCTGCAAACATTTTAACCATCCAGTGTTCATTAACGTGACCTTACATTGCACAATACACGGGCTTCTATAGCATTAGGCTTAGATCTAAACGCGACTGTCGTGGCCGGGATCAAAGCCGTGACCTTCGGAATAGCAGCCGAGTACTGTAACATCTATGTCAATGCATTCAGCGATAAAGACGTGGTAACGTACAGAAGCTGCGAATACCATGAGAGACGAAACAAATAAAAAAATGAAGCGACAGCGATTATCGAAGTAAATTTGCACTGTTTAAATAGCTTTATATTTTGTCAAAAGAAGGAAAACAAGAATGAAGACACCCACAGAAACGTGGAGCAGCATGTCGTGCAATAACTCAAATATAGAAACAATGCAAACTGAGGGTGTTTCAGAATACGCAACTATGTTAACGAATAAGTGTATTTACTAAAAAATAATTTATTCGAGTTCATTTAATGGTAATGCAACCTATGCTTCTGGAGTCTGATTGTGGAGCGCCTGCATAAAAAATGGCTTGTAAAGAATACTGCTGTTGAATGTCGAGATCGCTTGGTGTTTTACCTGAAAACTAAAGTTGAAGAATGACACTGATTTCATGATGTGTTTATACTCAGCATGATTTTCGTCAAAGCAGAGACTCACACATAAATAGGAATGCTGATTAAGAAAAGCTCTTCCGAACTCCAACGCAGGTGAAAATGTGTCTCCCAATATTGAGTGCTGTATTATTGTTTTCACATCTTGCACACGACAACCGTATTCTAAATTTAATAACTTATTTCACTGTACCTCAACGAATGTCCAGTTAATTTTCTGCAAAAGAGAAGAGACGGTGCACAAGAAAATGTAGACAAGAGTGACAGGGAATTGTGCTTGCTCTGAGCGAAATTCACAAATGACTGATGGCAAATAGGACTGCACACGAGGTGCAAATGTGCACCTCGTGTTCAGCGCTGTTTTCCGTCAGTCGTATGTACATTTCCCTCAGCGCAATCACATTAAAACGCAGTACAAATTTCTCAAATTGAAACTTTGCTGAACTATAAAGAAGGCACACAGCATTTTGCGTCTTTTAGCTCTTGTTTACGTATACTTATGTGGTGTTATTTTTTTTTCAGACAATAAACATGCACAAACAAGCCTAACACCTAATTTGATAAGAAAGCTTCAGCTATAGCATGGATCGGCTACGTTATGAAGGTCTTACACGCTAAAAAAATCGAGTGCTTGGGGAGCGTTTTCACTACACAACAATATTGGTCATTTTAGTTGCCCACGTTCTCTTTCTTGAAAACCACCTGCCGTGGTGGTTTAGCGGCTGAGGTACTTGGCTGCCGACCTGCAGGTCACGGAATCGAATCCCGGAAGCGGTGACCGCTTTTTCGATGGAGGCAAAAATGCTCGAAAAATTGAGTATTCGGGTAATGTTTCTGAAAACCCAAATACTCAATTCTCGATTATTTAGAGTGCTGCAGTTACAACACAAGCTGTATCATTATTTTCTCTTCTACTTTACCAGGAAAACAAGACACGAACAGTGGTTCAGTTTCACTTCACCACATGGCCAGACCATGGCGTTCCTCTCTACCCAGACGCCCTGCTGCCATTTCTCAGACGCATTTGGGATTTCCAGCCACATGATGACCACCCTGTCATCGTTCATTGCAGGTATGAGCAATCGTAATACTGAGAACCGACATCATAACACGCTCTGGGCAGGGTACTCATTAGCATAATTATGAAACCACAATATTCACAGAGAAGTAACAAACCTGACAGTGCCTGGTTGCCGCAATGATTCCCTGAACGACGCCACATTGAAGCATATTTTTCTCGCCATTGCCCTGAGGCAGTGTGTAATCCAGTTCACTTATTTTCCTTTAATGGTACGTAACGTTCTGCTGTTCTTATCTCGGAAACAAGAAAATTTATGATGTTAGAATGGCTCACGCAATGACAGCACCAATCTATATCAACAGTGGTAGCTCATGGCCCGCATGAGGATGGTTCCCATCGTCCACCTACAACGCAGTGAAAGCACCTCGGTGCTTCTTCAAGATCGGAGGATCAAAATCTGGTCAAGGATTGGAGATAGGGCCTTAATAGGCGGCCTTAGCTACGAAAAAAGTACCCCAGTCGTTTGTTACCTGTCTTTGATGTCTAATAATTAGGCTATTACTCGCTCAAAGTGATGGTCGGGTCCTTTACCTTGTACTTCAATGGTTTCACAAACACCAGACAGTCCCAGTGTAGGTGACCTTGTTGGCTAAGAATCCTCCCAAAACCCAAGAACCCCGAATTGCTAAAGGTGAACTGGTAGGCCTATAGGCAGAATGGGATGCATGCGGTTCTAAGGCCATAAATTACCTTCAAAGTTGAAAGGCTGATTTCGTTTTGAAACAATTCCTGCTTTTTTGAAGCCAGTAGTATCTTTAATAAGATTGTGAAATATTAATTAATTCTCACTGTTTTGCAACAGTGTTCTTCTTTGGGGTTTCATTGCATTAGTCAGTGTGATCACTCAACACCGGGACTAGCAAGCCAGACAATAAACAATGCGAACATCTCCTGAAACATCCGTAAAAGCTATTCCTATAGCTCTTTAATAAAGCTTTTGGCATTATCAAACAGCCTGGGGTGTAAACTTAAAAATAACTGTTTCAGAAAAAACTTACATAATGCCACAGTGTGTCTTTTAAAGTGCTTGAATTGTTCATGGCTATGAAGAACACCAGAATACCAGATGATTATTACTGAAGGTTTATGAGGCTTTTACTAACAGTTAATCTGGTGGATTATAGCAACTACACATTTTGTTTCAGCTGTTATACTAATCTTCAAAACACACTCGTAGGTTTCATCGCGAACATGACATGTGCGCATAGCATTATCAAACAGCTTTCTTGTCATTTCACAAGCAGGTTCACATTCTATAAGGCGCAATGCAAGAACGCTTTGCTTAGTGTTTTTTAACTATACAAGCAAAAATCCACCGCCATTCGTGGCTGTGAACAGAGAAATAGTAATAATAATATCTGAAGTTATACGTCTGAATACCACGTATCATTAAAAAAAAAGACTCCGTAGTAGAGGGCTCTGAAAACTTTTACCATCTGGTTTTCTTTAACGTGCGCTAAAATCGCACAGCACACAGACCTCAACCATTTCACCTAAACCGAAAGGGAACCACCCAGGGCCGCAATCGAACCCATGGCTACCAAGTCGGAACCACCGCACCGTACCCCTTATCTACCATGACGGACTAGGAGTACTTGGAGAAGTGACATTGATTCACGGAAAATATAATTTCTGAGCTATTTGCTTATCGAGGAAAGAAACAAAGCTTCTGCCTATAAATATGGTGATCATAGTGTAACATTAGAGTCGCTCGTACAAAGTCGAGTTGATCTCTGCTCACAGAAAGTTCAAAATGATAATTTCGGAGAGCTCCGTCATGATAAAGTTCACGACATTGCATCTGAGATCATCAAAGGCTGCAGAATACACCACCATCCGTTCTGCTCTGGAGTTCCTTTAGTTAAAGACACCACCACAGACATGACATTGCCAATCTTCTCTTACTCCAGATCAGCCCTCCAGCTAGTGCATTACCTCGTCATATTGTCATGGATCAAATGAACAGACAGTCGCTGATAAGAGTGCTTCATCACCGGCTTTATAGAGGCCGCATGACATTGCATATCAATAGATACCGGGCCACTGCGGCATCGACAGAAACGACCGTGCAGATGAAGCGGCCTGATCTGTTCATGATGATGCCCCTTGTGCAGCTATACCATTATCCAGAACAGACGCTGCTATAGGCTTTGTTCACTTGCACAAGAACTGATGCTTGCTCAATCGATGTCGACGGCAATTATCAATTTCCGTCTTCATAACTTGGAGGCACACCCACAGCTTCATCTTCCGTCGGGAATAACCAGAGGTCAAGAGACACTCTGGGGTGGCCTTTACGAAGGCTTATTTATTTCAAACTGGAATGGTGAGCGGTCCGACTGTCACATCTGAGTGACTTTTTCTGTTATTTTTCTCAGTGAGTGATCTCGCTACAGCGCTCTAAGAAAAAAACTTTCGAAAGTTCCAGATAGACTTGACAATCACCAATCGACAGAAGAACGGGTCTTAAGACACTGGCCGAGTATTCTCAGCATGCAAATCCTTGAGAGCATTGTTGCACCTCTTGCGCGCAAGTGGTCTCAGAGATGGGCTGTAAGCAGTGTCATGAATCGTGCAGTTGTCCTTCGCCCCCCCCCCTTTTAATATCTATTTTCTGTCATCTTTTGTTTCTCTAAGCCCCTTTCAAGCACAGCGTAGCCAGGAGGCACAGCATAGCCACTGTAGCCAGGTCTGAGAACTGGCTAACTTCCCTGTCATTTATTTCCTCCTTCTGTTTGTAGGAAAAACCTTACACTGCCTTGCGTGCATTAACGCATTGACCATGCATTAAAATCAGGCGTTTAGAGAACGAAGCTTTTTTTACATGACGACGGATTGAATTCGAGTGTCGCAAACAATTTGCAAGCATAGAGTTGCATGTGAATTGAAACTCTAGCCTTAAAAGCCGCCAGTACGAGCTATCACCTGACAAGAAGCTAGAAAGTATATTAAAATTTTTATATGGAACTGGAAATTCATAGAAGACAACTGTGTGTAAAATTTTGTCTTACAACCCAAACGACAGTGAAGTTGCTGACCTCAACCTTTGCTTTAACTTCAACGCAAGCGCGCCAATTGACTACAGGAAGTTAATTTGTGCTGTGGAAAATGGCATCAGCTAGCAGAAGCTACCCAATATTTATTAAATAAATAAATAAGTAAATAGATGAAGCCGGCACGCGTGCCGCAACCTTGCTGTCATCACGTCAGTGGAAACAACCAAAGTTTCACCACCACCCTCCCCTTTGTCCTCAAAAAAAAGTGAGGCCATGAAGTCTTTACCTAATGAGGAGAAAATCATTATTCTTGCTGCTGACAAAGACAACGCTACTGTTTTACTAGACACAGAGCACTACGTGAACAAGACGTGCGCACTACTGGGGGTTAAGAGTGCCTATGCTCGCCTGAGCAAGGATCCTACAGTGAAGCTTCAAAGAGATCTGCAGAAACTGCTTTACGTCTTTCGTATGGTGCCACCTCCACAAAAACCTTTGTATTATTCAATCTTGTGCACTAATGGCTCCGCTACAGCTTCATATGGCCTCTCAAAAACACATAAACCTTATGTGCTTTTGCGCCCCATATTCCATCTCACCCTTTCACTGTTATTCAACTTGTCTGGTTATCTGCACAGAATTCTCTCCCCTCTTTTTGGACAGACTCAGACGCATATGTTGAATCCTGCCAGTTTTATTGACAAGGTGTGTGACTTGTCACTACTAGAACACGAAGTGCTAGTGTCTTGATGTCAAATCTCTGTTTACGAGCGTATGATTTGTGCTTGCCGCTCAAGTGTGCCCTGCGCCCCTATAGTCAGACGGGACACTACCAAGCCGGACATCATTATATTGTTGCAGACCTTACTAGTCTTCTCCGGTTCTGCTTGCAGAACACTAACTTTACGTTTCAGAACAAGTTCTCAAAACAGGTACATGGCACTGCCATGGGTGCATCAGTGTCTGTTGCCGTCACGAACCTCACCGTAAAAGCAATCAAGAGTCCTGCTTTGTCCTGATTTATTGTCCCACTAAACAAATTGCTTTGCTGTATATTGACGATTGCTTTTGCATTTTGCAACGTGAGGCCTTGCCGGCCTTTCCAAATAAGTGGAATTTAACTGAATGCTCGTTAGAGAAAGAGAAAAAAACTTTATTCAAATTAAAGTAACACAAGTCCGGGTCTACTGAAAAAAGGGTGGGGGCTATTTATCAGACAGCCCAAAATGTTGCAAACCCTGAAGCAGTGTCTTCATGATGTCCGGGGGGGAGTCCGCCAGCCACTCCTCCAGGGCCGCAGGTCATACGTTTCTGAGTATGTGCTTGAGGCTCTCCCCCATGGCTGCGCGACCACCCGGACAGTCCCACAGAACGTGAGCGCTAACCTGGAGCCACTGCAAGCCATGCAAGCAGGAGACCCGTCCTTGCCTTGTATGTAGTGCTGAATATGTGATGTCCTTAAAGAGTGAGTTTGGGCACGCCTTCTCAGGGTTGCCTCGTGTCTCGTCATGAAGTGAGGAGGATCGGGATCGATTCATGGTTGAAGAAGAATTGGAAGGCGCCTTTCATTCCTCGGCACCCTCGTAAAACGAGAACACGGGCACTTGGAGTTCTCTGGTCACAGGAAAAGCACCATGAGTGCTACTTCCGGCGACAAGTGCTCCTTCCTGGCACTGGCGCTCTGTCGTATCGACACTCTCACAACTGGCTAGGTTGACTTCTTCAAGCAAAGAAGAGTGACTTAGAGACGGGGAGACCAGTCAACAGGAGCTCGCCGCTTCTGGCTATATCGTCTCATTCATTATTCTACTCTATAATGAACTTCAAAAATCACAGCATATCCATGAAGTAAGTCATTATGAGTGGGGCGAAGCGTCCGTCCGTTTGTCTGTCTGTCCATTTGTGCATGCGTCAAGACGAACGGACAAAAGCACGGACGCACGGACGGAAGCACAGACGGGTGCATGGACGGACGCATGGATGAACAGAAGCGCA